GTGCCATGTAATATGATATAAAAGGCAAATTATATTTAAATGACATTTTGAAATTCAATTTTAATATTTGTATCTCAAATTTCTTTTTTTTTTCTCTTCTTGTTTAATAGCAAAGAAACGAGCCATTGATTCTGTTAATATAAACAAAATATAATATTCTTAAACATATCGGTTTTATTTCATAAATGTGCTAGCATAGTTTTTAACACTATTATGATGAAGCATAAATAGCGAAAACCTGTGTGCACAGCATACTGTCAACTATAAATCTCACTGACATAATTATCACATTTAATATGTATACTTGTAAATTTAATTGACAATCTTTTAAAAATTGTGATAATTATGTTTTATTACCTAAAATTCAGGGTAGATCAAACCTTTGTTAGCCATTCGTTGGAACAATGAGCGGTATTTTATTATCGAGATTAACCATGTTTAAAGTGTCTCCGAGATATATCCGCGTAATTAAAAACCATTTCTCTTTAACTGCGCGTAATTTTTATTTAAAAAAAAAATAATAATAATAATAATAATAATAATAGTAATAGTAATAATAGAATGCAACATCAAAATGTCAGTTTTAAAATTTTTTTTTTACTTTTCTACGTAAATTTTAGTACTCTTTGTTTCTGACCCGCTACCCTTCCTCCCCCCTTCCATCCTGTTCCTCCTCTTTAGCTATCTTTTTTCCCCGGCATACGCACACTGTCTCTTTTTGGTGCCGATAAACACGTGGCATCTGGCAGATATAATTAGTGACTTCATGTGCGATCGTAAAGGCGCTTGCCCTTTGATGTCGTACGAAATAAGCGCCAGGAACGCCCGGAAAAAAACTTAGCTTCTGAAGCGTCAATCGTCAATTTTTCCCTTCTGACTTTTTCCTTCTCTTTTTTCCTCGATCAATGTTAAGCAGCCTCTATCTATATAATCGATTCATCTTCGATTTTACATTTCGTTTTATAACAGTCGTTTAAATATTAATTTTATAGTGCTACCACTTAAGAGAAACTATTTACATTTTTATGGTGCCTATAATGTATTTATAATACGTTTATAATATACTGCTTGGTCAGGTTAAATTTTCTTGGATATTTCAAATATATTTCAAAACAAGCATCGAATGATTACCATAATATATTTGACGAAAATATTTTACTCTTTTTACAATCAGCAATCTTGTAATGTTTCCTTCAATACTGTCCAAAGACAAAGAGACTGTACAAATGAAAATGCTTTCGACGAAAATACATCGTAAATGTCTGCAGTATGTTCGGTTTTAGTTTGTTAAAAAGTATCGAATGTTGCGGAGGGGCCAATGAGAAGCCAAGACGTGACCATTGAGAGAAACAAATAAGCGGAGCCCTTATTTTTCGGACGCGTCTCGGAAAAATAAGAAAATGAAAAAAGCGGGAAAGTAGAGAGGGAGGGAGGGAGATAGAGAGAGAGAGAGAGAGAGAGAGAAAGAGAGAATACAAAAATAAAAATACGTGAAAGAGGCGGACCTGCAAAGGCAATTCCCAGGGCCCAGAGAGACTCGAAATTGCAGCGCCATTGAGTCGAAAAGTACCCAACTGAAAGAGAAACGAGTGCATATCAGAGACACGCCAGAGAGATTTCTTTTTCTTTATTTCTTCCCATCTCATCTTTCTTTTTTCCCCTCCTCATTTCCCTCTGTAGCTTTGACTTTTTTAATACGTGTATGCACATGCAATTTTGCACGGCTCTAATATAAATACACGCGGATCTATGTATATGTCCAGAACGATCGGATGAATCTTCGTGGCCTTCGACGTTTGCAATCGGAGAACCGTGTGCCTTTCATCATCATCTTCATCTTCTTCTTCTTCTTCTTCTTCTTCTTCATCTTCGTCCTCCTATTCTTCTTCTTTTTCTTCTTTTCCACGTCTCAAAAATAATAAAAGGTTTTTTACTTCCTTTTCACGTATGCCGCGAAATCGAGTCTTCCATTTCCACACCTCGTGTTCGGTCGCCCAATGCATTTTTATAATCGTTCCTTTCTAACGCAATCACTTTCCTTTCGATGGACCGGCGATTGTCAACGCAAAATTCTACGATGTCGCATTGACATTGATTCAAAAAGAAATGATATGGAAAATTAATTTTTATTTCATTAAATCACTCTAAGCACTATAGAATAAAGTAAATCGATTAATCGATCGTTATCCAGTTTATATTTATTACTGGCCGGTGTTGATTTTTTCACATAATTTCATCGACAAACTCGAAGCATATTACAATTATTCTTATGACTTATGACAATTATTTATAGAATGTAATAACATTTACATTTTATAAAGTAGCTATGTGCTTTAACGAGAGATTTATTTGCCCAATGACGATAAACTATGCAGTTAAATCGATTGATAAATGTTTGTCTTTCACGAGTGATGAATTCATCAAAAGTTTATAGAGCATCGGAAGCGGCAAATGTATTTTTAAGATAAACGAGTGCCTATTATCACTACAATCTTAAATCAAAATAATGCTACTTCTTTATTATCCTATGGTATGCGGTAATCAGTATTAATTGTAAGTGCAAAGACGGTCGACGTATTTTATATTTTATTTAAATGCAGCTGAGCTTTACTACGTATAGATTCATTGATATGAAGATAATTTATGTGGTCCTTTGATTACTCAATTGCTTGTCGTTGTAAACGTAACGAGTCCGACACAACTTACTAAGGACTAAAATATACAAATGTTTAAAATGAAAGGCATGCAATTCTTTATACACTCGCATTACCACGTTGGATTTGAAATAAAAATACATGGAAAAAATGTGTAATTGAATTTTTCAAAGTAGACAAACGTATGAGTAAGGCGCAAAATTTATTGGACATGAGAAACATAAATACAAAATAAGTTATTTGACGAAAGTTTATCAATAGGAGAATTAAGTTCCCTCTTTAATAAGCTAAAAGCCAGAGGGTAAATAGAAGATAATCCGGAATAGTCGGCTAAGTTGCATAAACGTCAAACGTAGCCGAGTCACTATTCAAAAAAGTAAATGTGCGGTAAGGCTGAACAACAAATTTTGTTCGACAATAGTAGGATGATAAAGGGAATGGGACAAATGTCGAAAACTTTTCGAGAAGACAAAGAAACGAGGGAGAGAGGCATAAAGGAAGTAAAAGGCGCGTATCGTGGTCGAAAAGAAGAAAGTAAGGATGGGAGAAAGAAAGAAGAGATATATGCAAAAAAGCTACAGCGGCCACTCACCATTGCTGAAGTCGACGATGCTGCAGAGGCAGACGGCTGTGAGGATGCCGAGAGGCTCTCGGAGTCTTGCCATATCTCCTATCGCTCTCTCTCTCTCTCTCTCTCTCTCTCTGCTTAAGTTTTCTCTCTTCGCACTCGTCCGTGTGTGTGTGTGTCTCTCTCTCTCTCTCTCTGTCTCACGCGCACGCACGCACGCACGCACGCACGAGTTATCTCTCTCTCTCTCTCACTTTCTTTTACTCTCTCAGAATCGACTGTGAGAGCTGGCTAAGTCGTCGTCGCCCACGTCGTCCTCCTCGAGTCGCATCTTCCTCGAATGCTTCTCTCCTCTCTCACTCTGACACGCACATCCGAGAGCCGCGTCTCTCCTCTCCTTGCTATCTTTTTCTCTCTTTCTCTTTCTCTGACGGTCTGCTTGTCGCCCCCACGCCGAGATTCCACTGCGGCTACCAGAAGACAAACCACGACGATGACGACGGCGACGGCGACGGCGACGACGACGACGACGACGACGACGACGACGACGACGACGGCGACGACGACGACACTCGCATCCTTCCTCACCGTAGTCTTACGCGTCGTTCTCAGTCACCGTTGGACTGATGCGTGCTCGAGCGCCTCCTTCGCGGAGTCCCGAGGAGCAACGTCGCGCACTAATGCCAAGCGCGCACTCCTGTGAGGGCCATACTTCCCTTCGGCGACTCTCGCCTCTGCTCCGCTCGATTCTTCCCCGGCGCTCGCAATTACAGAGACGCGCACGTACCAATAGATCGAGCGACTCGAACTGTCCCCCAACTCCGGAGCCACAGTCTGTTCGACTGGTTCGTCGCAACGGCGCCGCCAAAACTCGACCGAATCCCCCGAGTTCCCGCAACCCCGCAGCGAGTCGGTACTGAGGCGCTTCATTTTATCTTGAACGGAACTTGGGCGTCTCGTCTTTAGCCGCGGTCGATAATTTAAGCCTTCGTCATCCGTCCTTGTTTCGTACTCCCACTGCATGCAAACACAGGTGCAGTTATTATATATAAACAACCTTTACAAGCCCGTTGAAAATTGATCATGCTCAGGCCTATCATTGTGATGCTTTATTTTAGTATTTGGAAGGGGACCTTTTCTCTCGATCGATTCTTTTTTTGTTTCCATTGGCATTCGGCACTGTATTATCTATTTAACCGTTAATAAATTGATTAATTGTTAACGAATCCTATTAATGCTGGATACGATTCAAATAAAAAAACAAAATAGAATAAAAATGGGTATGCGCGTATGTTTATGTGTGTGAATTGCCACTAATGAACACGTGCCTTTGCGATACTATACATACGAGTTTGCACTGTTTGCATTGAAAGGTGGATAACCTTATTTCTCTCGTTGACAAACGTTTAGAAACTAACATATTAGAATTATCAAATTTTACAATTTTTATAAATAAATAATGTACAGTAGTAATTATAATATAGTAAATAATTTATACTGGTAATCTATTGAAATATAATCATTTATCCTCGTAATCACAGTTGTAGTAAATTTTTATAAAAATAAAGGTGCCGAAAGTGGTGAATACGGATAATTCCATTATAAATAATAAAATAATGTGTGTTAATTTATGTAGAAACTTAATATCACCAACGGCAAGCTTAAGATTTTGTCTTAATTTCTGCAGAAATCTTTCTAAAGTTTATGAAAAACATGATTCCACAGTTTTATCAAATAAAAAATTCAAGTATAAATGTCAAAGTGTAAGTGTGTTCAGTCCAAAATAATTTTAAACAATACTCAAGAAATGCAAGAAAACATTTCTGCAATGCAGATGAAAAAGAGACCAATTCGCAAAAAAAAGACACTCAAATCCGAGGCTGCATCTCCACTTGGTGTATGACTATTTATTATCTAAATACCGAAATTTAAGTAAAATCAGCAATTTGTACATTGGGAAATATTTATTATTAAAATAATTGCAAGAAAACTTATTTCAATTGTAAAACTTATTAATAGCTACAGATATATTGTAGTATATGATTATTAAGGCGACTCTAAAAATATTGTAAATTGTAGTACATTAATAATAAGACCTAATAGAGCATTGATTGCTTCCTTTCTTAGTTATATACTATTAAATATTAATATTAATATTTCCATTATTAAGTCTATATGCTAATATTTAATTTAAAATAATTAAACATTAGTTTTTCTGTAATAACAAAATTTATTCAAGTAATTTTTATAGTACAAATTTTAATTATACATATACTTATATACATGTTTGTAGTTTTGGAATGTAAAGGCATTAGCTACTGCCGAAGATTATGATTTGGAAAGCTTAATGGAGGGTTTAATCAAACAAAATCTGTATACACCCATGGAGATACAATCGAGTGATAAATGTAAGTATATACGACAAATTGAACAGTAAACCTCACTACATTTAGCCGCCATTTGAAAAATAAAATAAAAAAGAATTTTACTTTTTATATTTAATCTATTTCATAACGTTGCAATCAAACTGAATCACTTTGACAAACTTGAACAATTCATGGCATGAAATTAAAAAAAAATAATTATAAATTATAACTTTTTCAAATTACAAGTTATATTTTACCTTAAACAAATATATTAATTTTTTTATCAATTTAAGCTCTCGTTTTAATTGTAATTTCATTTTATTAAATTGTATTTTAAATTGAATTATATGTTAAATAATTTATTCTTCTTAAATTCGTATTACATGCTTCTTTCAATGTATACTATAACATTTTGTGACTTGAACGAGGTGTGTATTGTTTCGTATATAAAATAAACACGTTAGTATTCAAAATAAAAAATTATTATCTAACAATTCCTTAACAATTATTCAAAAATGGTTGACTAAAATATAAATTTTTAAAGTTTTGAATCTTTTTTAAATGGTAATCCGCTTCCGAATTTAATGATATTGGGAAACTTAATCTATAGAGGTAAATTAAATGTTCGAAAACCAATTTTGTTCAAGAAATATTATATTTTTTCGGAAAATGTAATGATAGACTGCCACAGTTACATAAGGTATAATTCGATATTTTTATTTCATTTTCATTCATTTCTACATTTTTATTCAATCAGTAATGTTTATAATATGTATGGAAATAGCATTAGATATTTTACAAAAAATATTAAATATTAAACTTTTTCTTTATAATTTAATATGTATTTAACGTATTATTAATAAATAAAAATTATAAAAATATTTATAATGAGTTTATTGATATGCTCGTTTATTCCTTCTCTGAAATTCCTTCATTGCTTCTTTTCTTTTATTTTATTAATATCCAACTAATGTCTTATTTTTTTTTTTTGTATTATATATATTAAGTTTTTGTTATCTTGTAAAAACAATTTTTTATTTTATTTATATAATTAATTGTATTCCTTTGTCAATCACTGTAATTTTATTTATATATTAACTATATAATTTTAATTTCTTATGTATTAATATCTTAATTAGTGCTATAAAATTTATCAAAAATATCAATATACTTGCAAAAGAATCGTAATTTTCATAAAAATTAACCCACACTTTCGTTATATGATTTAACAGTGGAAGAATACCATTATCCGATTAAAGAAGCACTTGAAATAATGATTCAGTATATTTAAAATATAAAATTGAACCATCCAGTGTTGAAAATTATAAAATTTGATAGATTATTTATATAATAAATGAAACCTTTTGATCGCGTATTTTCTTACGATTCAAGGTCGCCTTTTTTCTTAGTGGCACATCGAAACTCGTCACCTTTAAGTCTGATCAAATGTTTAAACACACTTTTGCACATTTATATCCTGTCATAACGGTAAATGTACGCTTTCTCTCTCTTTTATCATTTTCTTTGTCCGCTTTACTCATTTTATCTGCCTATTGTTATATGCGCATATAATTCTTATTCATTCATTATTTAATAAGAAGCTTATTACGTTCATAAATGTATATAATGTAATAATAATATGCGGAGTTAAAAACAGCAACATACTATTATCATTTTTTAAAAAGAATTCATTATGATAATAAAATAAACATTATAATTACAGAATTCTAAGTATTATAAGACAATGGAACCTGTAGTTAATATGACGTGATGCGATTGAATTATTTTTTAATAAATTTTTAACTTAAACGACTTGCTGATTAATAAATATTTGTTTGTTATATTTCAAAAGAATTTCAGAAGTTATTTTATTATTTTATAATTTATTTTTTTAATTACAAAGACTTTGTTAGTCAAGAATTGACAAGCTGTATTATTTCATAATTTTTATCAAATATTCAATAACTGTATATGTTATTATTTTCAGCTATCTTGTTTAATTTGTTCAAATTGGTAAAAAGAACAAATTTATTTTTAAAAAATATACGAAAATTTGTAATTATAAGGAAAAACATATTGCATCAAAATCAGTTTAAAAGTATTTTCTAATATGATCCAAATCTGTTAATAATACAAATTTAAATTAAATAAAATTTGAACATAAATATTATTGCAAATTAATTATGAAAAGTAGTATAATATTTTTTCTCGAAGAATAAATAAATATATTGATTATTTAATAGTCTTGAATATATTAAGGATTTTAAATAATTTAGATTTTATTATTCGTTGAAGAAATCGTATTTATCACTAGCACAATTCATTGTAATATAAAATACAAAACTAAAAAGAATAATGAATTTCGTATTATGAAACAAAAAGAAACTTAATTGCTATTTTCTTTATGAATTTTTATCAAACTAATAATGAATTCATAGTCATTAAAAATACATTTACTTAACATTAACAAAAAATAATATTCCTTTCAAATACTATCACTGTAGTTTGTTTGAGTATAATCTTTTTTATTCTGTATGTAACCATGTGGTTATTTATACATATATATATATATATGTGTGTGTGTGTGTGTGTGTGTGTGTGTATATATATATATATATCATTGTCTATATATTTTAAAATTTTTAAATAATTTGTAATATTATAGGATAAAACTTAATATTAAAATTTTTCCAATAACTATAGTGCTCAATAGTCTTATACATCATTATTAGTTCTCAGATAAATAATAACAAATATATGTTCTTGGAATTTAATTCTTTTTATATTAAAAATTTTTAATAATACTTTTTGTAATGGGTGAAACTCCTTACTTACATTTTACTAAGAATAATTGAAATTTCTAGTAGTATAGTGAATATTGGTACTTTTAAAAACGAAACAATGTTTTCTAAATGTAAATTTAGAGTATATTACTAAATATTAAGAGTTTCGAAATTTTTTCATACTTTGTTAACCTTCTTTATAAAATGAATTAGTATTTTTACTCAAATTTTGGCTAATAATTTTATATATTTTTATATATTTCAATAAAAAATTATTTGACATTCAAGATCATTAGGCATTAAATTAATAATATTTTCAAATTTTCAATCTTCACAAAATATTAAAAAAAAAAAAAATGTTTAAAAAAGAAATATTCAATCTGTATCGTAATACTTTTTTCTTAAAATCTGTACCAAATACTTATGGTACGTTACATATAATTATTACATTATAAAAGTATTACATTATATTTAATCGCCAAGTTGCTTTAGTTTTCTATCTTAAAATAATAAAAACATTTAAAACTTAAACTAGTTTCCCTTATTGTAATTTTAGCATTTTAATGGTATAAATTATTAAAGTGTCATTGAAATAGTTTCTTCAAATATTCTTATAAAATATTTAAAATTTATTTAATAATATTATTTGAAAATAATGTTAAATGATGGAAAGAACAGGAGCATCGGATACATTTTTTTAAATTAAAACCGTTACGAATCGTCTTTATAAGTAAGGGTTCGTGTGCTCAATATCTCTATTTTAAAGAACTAAAACATCGGATTAATAATTTCTTATTCGCTACAAAAAGTTGTAATCTCAAATTTATGTCGTATTTTAGTTTTCAAATCATTTAAAAATATTTATATTCTGAATGGAAACTGGTATATAATTACAAAAGGTAAAAGTTTCAAATTTTATAGAAATTGTAAGTTATGAAGTTTGAAGTATATCGATTGTTGGCATTTAAGACATTACATAATAGCTGTTGATTTATATATCAACCGCATGGGTATAATAAAATGAATAATTTCTATGTGTAGATATTTCTTATGCGAGACTAGTCAATGCAATGTTTTCCAGTAATCAAAGCCATGGTGTATTTAATTTTATACCCAGTTTCAATTAATTTTTACGATTGTATTTTTCATTTGTCAATTAACTTAGGATTTTGCATTACATTCTTTCACAAAATAATCAATAAATCATATTGCTTAAATGATTTTTCTTTTTTAAATAAACAACATTCCAAATTCCATTGAATGAAATGATAAAGCCGGATAATAATTAAATCATTTTTGACAATAACGACAGTTTTTCAATACATTATCCACTTTATAATTTGCAAAGATAATTGTTATATTGGATTAGATGTTATGGTTTATGACGAACAACATTAAGAGTAGTCAATACATATTCCAGTTACATTTCACACTATGTGCTTATGACTTTTTATTTATATCTTTCCATTTATATTTCTTTAAAGTTAAACGTTTAGTTTCAATACGATCGCAATCTGGTAAAGATGCACGGAATAGATAAATCAATCACTTTCGATATTGGATTTAGAAAGTTACCTTCTATTAAGTCTATAAACTTAGAAGTTAATTTTACATTGTTTGAAAATTTAAAAAATATACGTATCTTGATATTTATATATTTATATATTTATATTTATACATGTTTATATAAATATATATCGTCTGTCTTACGAAACAGTTGATAAGTATTATTAATTCAGTTTAATTAGTAATATAATTTAAAATTCTAATTGTATAAATATAAATATAAATATAAATAAAAAAAAAGAATTAAATTATTCAGTGTTTTAATAAGATAAACTTTGAAATTCAGTATATAAATTGTAAGTAATAGGTGAGTTTTAAAGAGGTTTATTTAGAAATTATAAATTGAATCAAATGTATGAAGACAATATTCGTCTTTTCAGTATAAATATTAATTTTTTATTGAATGTAATGAAATTTATTTAAAGTTTTCTCTAAATATAAAAATAAATATACTCATTAAATTACTTTATCTAATAAATAATTTATTTACGGTGGCTTAGTTAATAATCATTCATTGAAACCTTTTTTTTTTAAACAATAAATGGTATACATATTAATTATATTCACTATTATGACGATGAATGTTAAAAATTTAGGATTACAATTATCATCAAATTATTATAATTTATATTTAGGTGCTATTATATATGTATGTTAATAATGGTGTGCTGATATAAATAAAAACTTATTACCACAAATTTTCTAATATTAAGAAATTAATTTAATCTAATGCAATGGTAATATTTTATATGTGATAAACAAATAATTATGGTTCTTTTATAATAATTTGTTTATTTGTAAATTTTTAATTATCATAACAGAATTAGGCAAACAGTGCTTTAAATTAATTTACCATACTTTATAGTAAATAAATATGCATAGAAAAAAATTTACTCTGATAAAAAATTTATTTTAAATATTAAAGTTATTAATGAAAAAAAAACACTCATACTTGTGAGGTTTATAACAAAATTTATTACACGAATTGTATTTGATAAGTTAATAACTTTTAATAATTACTTTATGTATACATTAAATTATATTGACATAATATCTGTATATTAAGAATTGAATATCGAATATTTTACATTAAATTTAAATTAGTTGTTTTCCATTGCTTAAAAAGTTTCAATTTATTGTTCGATACATTTATATTTAAATGATTAGAATTCATTTTCCATCAATTTTTTATCATCTTATTATTTTCAAATATCAAATCTAAATAAAATATAAAAAATTTTTATGTTTCAACTTGTAAATACTAAAGTTATAAATAAATTGTACTTTACTTTCAGCTATTCCAGTTGCTATACACGCAGTAGGTAAATATGAAATCAGTATTGAGCCTCGTGAAATTTTTTTTTTTCGTCAGGGTACTATAGTCATGTGGAATACTACTGATGTTGAATGTAATAATTTACTTGAGTTTTTAAAATCATATGAAGAAAATTGTTATTCATATGACTTTGTTGAGGCTGAACAAGAAATAATGATGTACACTTATACAGAAGAAGGGTATTTTTAGCATTGGTTTTTTTTTTTAACGTTTTAGAATACATTAAATTATTCATTTTTTCCACTATTTAATATTATACAATTTTAGTAAAAGAAGTCATTTGAAAAAAGGCGATATATACCTTTGTCCGAATAAAAATTTGGATAAATACACGTTTTCAAATGCTTTATCACAAAGTGTAAAATTGGGTATTTGGGAAGCTTCCTTGGATCGTTATATAGATTCTATAGAATTTATTACAGAAGATTTAAAGAAAGGACGTAAAATTCAATTAACAAGACCAGCAGTTTTGATGAAACAAGGCAAACTTTTTGCTTTAAGACATATGATTAATTTAAGTTCAGATCTTTTGGATACTCCCGACTTTTATTGGGAACAAGATGATCTAGAAATATTATATCAACGAACTTGCGGATATTTTAATATTTCTAAGAGGACTAAAGTACGTTTATTATTTATTTAATTATTTATTGATATACATTCTTTTCCTTATTTATTGTTTCGTATTTTACTTTTTTAATCGTAGTAAATTTTAGTCGTAGTAATAATTTATTAAATCTTCCCGTATCGTGCACGGATTCATTTGACATTTGATTCTGAATTTTTTAGCGATTATGTTATTCATACATATTAATGTTACATATTACGTATACAAATGATATATTTTTTAGATAAAAACTGTACAAGTGACTAAAAACATATTTTAAAAAACATTCCAAAGAAAATGAAATGAAATTCAATTACGCAATTAGTATTTATTTAAGTTTTGAATGATTTTTTTTTTATACTTTTTGTTTATTATATAAATAATCATTGATTCGGAGAATTTTTTTTAGAAATTTTTAAAATATCATAAAACGAATTGAGTGTTGAATGTGAAAATCACATAACTTAATAATTAATGTTAGATACTCGGTACAAGCCAATGAAAATAATTCAGTAAGAAGACGATATTAATTTTTTAATTTTATTTGTTAGCGTCAGAATTGTGCATTTGTTTTTTATTTTAATTAAAAATCTTCTTATCAATCGAAGAATAAATATATGTCACAAATGTGACATATCTAGAACATTTAATTATACAATAATTTGATAAAATTTTATTAAAAATTATGTCTCGATCTTCATTTTATTTTTCTTAAACGAAATTTCGTGTTTTCCAATAAAATCCTACATGTTCAGCTTATTTACAGTTTAACATGATATATACATCCAATTCATCTTAATCATCGTAACTAATCATTACTACATTATTAAATGCAATAATTTCTTTCGTTCATGCTTAGATAATAAAATTTTGATTGAAATTAATGATTTTATACATGACAATAATTCAAGTAATCATTTTTCAGATCTTCTAATGTTTATTTATTAAGGATCCTAAGTAACCAATAGCGTAAATAATGTTTAGTTTCACTTTTTGATATAGTTTAATTATAACGCATCAATATTGCATTATTTAGCTTTACATTAGTCTTATGTTTTTAAGAATATTTTATTTTTCAATTATTAGTTTCTCCTAATATCACCTTAAGTAAAAAACTGTCTATCCGTATAATTATTTAATTTACTTATTCAAATGGTTTTTTTTTCATTTCTTCAATGGTGTTAGTTAATATACTTTTAAGTTGAATTAAATTTGTACGTAATGTTGTAATTGCGTTTTAATATTATTAATAGATAGAATGCATTAATATTGAGGTAATAACAATTAGAATATATCTTTGTTAAATATCAATTATCTTTTTTATATTAATTTAATTAACCCGAAATACGTAGTTTTGTCATATTCCCATCTTTTTTTAGTAATAACAATCTATAAACTATATGATTGTTTAAAAATTATAAACATATTTGTGGATTTCACTTTTTTTTTGATCTATTCTATTGAAATTTATAAAATTCGTTTTTAATAATGTATTCATCACGCAGCATAAACGTGCTTAATGAAATATTGTTTTAGAACAAGTGAGGAATCTTACGATGCCTCTAAATTTGTTCCAGTTGATTAATCTCTTTTTGAAGATTTAAACGATGATTAACTCTTGCATTCCTTGCTGTAAATTCTTCATACCATCAGTAAGCTGACGTATGTTAGAAATTAAAATTATTCTAAAGCCTTAATTTATTTAGGTATATCGTATTAATTTAAAGTCTCATTCTATTTTAATTTGTAATTCTGATATATATATATATTTAAAGTTAAATTCCATTACATAATGCTATTTCAATTCTGGTCTACGTTGCTGCAATTTATACAATTTTGTCACAATCTAGAAAATAATAAGAGTTCATGGCATTTAATGATGGTATTGTATTTAGTGTATGCATGTGTGATAGAGAGCTGTAACGCTAGATAGTCGTGACGTTGAAATTTTAGCCACGCAATTAGTAATTAGCCACGCCTATGAGCAAAAGACGGTATTTAACTTTGCATGTAGTGTTTCATATCCATATCATGTATTGGCTGAAAATCTGTTCGTAGAAATTAATTGAATAATTGAATTTTGTATTCTAATTTCTGATTCTAATGTATTTATTATGATATGAGATATCATTTCTCATTCAAATTGAGTTAATTATATTTGCACGGTATAATTTATAATATTTTGCAGGATTTGCTAATAAAGAAGTGAAATTTTTATTTAAAAATAATCAACTTAATCTTATTGTATTTTTGCATGTATACCACCAACAATTTGCAAATAATGTTAAGATAATTTATGTATTTTTAGGTGATGAATGAAAAAATTAATCATTGTATTGAATTGGTTGAATTACTCTCTTCACATCTCAGTGATAGGCATCATGTTCGCTTGGAATGGATGATTATTATTTTAATTATGGTAGAGGTGGGTTTCGAGACTCTACATTACTTGAATCGGTACTTAACAAAGTATGAAGAAACCGGAATAACGATGCAACAGTAATAACTTCATGGCACTTGAAAATTTATGTTTTTATTTGAAATATAAAAACTACAATTGTACAATATATTAGTTCTGAAGATAGCATTATAATAGTAATTGTAAAGATCATTATTTATAATTAATGTGATAAATAATACATATAATTTTATAAATTAAAATCATCAATGTAGTTTTTCAACAGTTTCACACAGTTTTGTTGGATTAATTTTATCAATTTATTTCAGTAATTATACAAATTATAATTATTATGATTTTTATATTTTATAAATATAAATAAAGTATATTTTTATAATACTTTATATATTAATTATATCATCATTTTATATTATTAGCATCGCAACTATTAATAATACATGATATAATAGTTATAATAATATATGTCATTAGACAGTGTCATACAATAGTATAACAAGAATAAATATATTCATATTAAAAAAAATTATAAACTACACATATTTATTAACAGTATTTTTGTTTCCATTGATGAGTCTCCTAAAAAGTAATATTTTATATGATATATTTTATAATTTTGGTGCGAATTTATCAATATTCAAAAATGAACAATAAATGTAATATAATAAATCTAATTTTATATTTTTTAAATGTAAACAAAATCTTAAACATTTACACACCTGAAAATGATAAAAAAATACACATTTTTAAAACAACTGTCAATATGTCTCATTCATTTTATGAAATTTGTTTTCAATAGAAATTAATACAAATCAGAACTTCTAAAGATGTACTGTTTTCATATATTTGTAGTTATTTAATTTTTTTCCTTATTACTTATATGGAAATCAACAATTTATTTAGTTTATTTAATTACATGATATATTTTATGTATATTTTTTAACGAATATACAGTTCTGTATCATGATTTTAAATTATAAGTAATTCGTTCATTAAAAAAATTATAAATTGATTTATTTTACATATTGTTAAACGCTGCTTTTTTCTAATGTTAATTAACTTCTTATTATTAATTACTTGTTAATTACTTATTAACTAACTACAAAATTGCTTATTAATCTATGAATAAGAATTATTTAGAATTCTCTTTCCAGTCGTTTTTAAGTGTAGTAAGAATTTTTTTTATAGTTCAAATCTTTTTATCGTTTTATCGATAAATTAATTGTAAAATAAATATAATTTATTTTTAGTGATAGTTATTTTATATGTATTCCTTTAAATAAAAAACATGTATTTTACATCGTTTTTTGAAAAAAGCAGTCCTGTAAGAATGTATTTTCAATACTAAATTAATCATTTCTTGAATTTCTATAATAATAGTGAATGAAATATAAAAGTATGACTCACACAAATAACTAGAATATATGAAGTATTATAATAAATTTTAAGGTTTTCTAATATACTTTATACCTAACTCGTACCTGTATTATGCTTTTTAAATAATATAAACATAATTTATAATATTAATTTATTATGCAATTTTATATTTATATTTTTCTATATGTTTATATGTCCACTAAATATTTAAAAAATATTTTAATATAGAATATATAATAGAATAGAATAAAATAAGAAATACATGTTTACATTCTTAAGTCACAATAAAGAAATTATTACTATTTTAATAATTTTATGAAACGATAATCAAAAATTATCGATGGGTGTAATGAAAAAAATAGGCATTTGGAATATTTATTTATAATATAAATTTCATTTGTAGTATAATTGTAAGGTTACAGAGTTCAGGTTTCTTTTCATAATTAGAATCTAACTAATTATAAAGAATTGATTGAGAAACTATAGTAAAAAATAATTGCAGTTCTTTATTAATAGTTTAAATAGTTGATATGAGATGCATATAATTTAAGCCTTTATTAATTTAAGAAATGATTTTTTTTTATTGGGCATATATATATATATATATATATTGTGAGATATTTTAAAAATAGCCAATGGATTATGAATTGTTATAATTCATGCAATAATATTGTTCTTTGATTTAAAAAAAAAAAAATATACTTAAGTAGTTAGAAACCTTGATTTTTTTTTTTGAAATTAAGCTTTGAATAATATGAATTCAATTTATTTGAAATTCAATACTTCTAAATTCTATATATTTAAAATATTTTTTTTTAAATAATATTTACAAGATTCAAGTTTCTGAAATTTAGTACCTTGCTATTCTAAATTATGATATTACATAAAGTTATATAAGATTTAGTATATGTAATTAAGTAAATTAATATTGTACTAAGCTTCTCGATATCAAATCATGTAATAAGAAGTGTTTTTGTATACTACAGATGGTTAGAAAATAAAAAGTAAAATTAAATGACATTTATTAAAGGATTTAACGTATACCTTCAAGTCGACACTTCAAGTATACAATGAAATATATAGAATATTTTCTCAACTGTAATATCTATATTTAGTGTTTTTTGTTTATATTAAAAACATATATAATTTTTTTTATAAAATAAATTGCTCATAAAAATTTCTAACAAATTTCAAAAACGATCTTATACGAATTTCCTTACATATAATATTATATTTCTATATTTAATAACATAAATAATTCTAAAAAGTGATTTTCACTTTTCACCCGTAAAAATATATAAATGATAAATTTAATTAAAATCTTGTTTAAAATTTCAATTACTTGGTTTGATGGATAATTGTTTGCATGATAATAGTTTTTACTTGAGCAGTAATTATTTAAGATTCATAAATATAGCTTTAGAATTTGTAAGCAATTTTATATTTATTCAAATGAAAAATTATGGAATTAATTAAGACTCTGAACTAATAATAATTTTCAATTTTATACTGTTATAAGACTTGTATATAATTTATTACACTGAATATTGTAAGCAAGGATTTCAGTTTAGGAATTGTATCAAAGCGTTTTGAATTTTAAAATATTTCACAATAATGGAGCGCAGATTGGATTTCTATTATTAGTAATTGTTTTTTTTTTAACAGTAATTGTAAAATTTTAAATAAAAATGAATTTGTTGATCCGTTACTAGTCAAATGAATTACAAGCCTGAATTATTTTAATTACAAATGAAAACACTTTTACAATTTAGAACGATACGAGTTTTGATAGAAATTAATTTAAAAATAATCTACACAATTTATGTTGAAATATAATGGTTTAATAAATTTTTTATCACCGTATATAAATGACAGCAGACGGAATAAAAAAAGTTCATTCTATTTATTTGTTAAAGCTTATTAAGTACTCTAAATAAAATTGCAGCAGTTGTCATACCACAGCAATTATTCTCATTACCCATTTTACAAGCACTAATCATATGGTATTAATAAATTATTATTATATGTCATTATATCACTATGGTTTACATAATAAATAATAAGTAATATTGAATAGTAGTGAGATAGGTGTAGATATTATGTCCTTGTCACTATATACACCATTATGACGGTCACTACACATACTCATTTTCTGCTTCCTTTGAAGCCATATTGATTTTTAGACAAATTTGCCTATGATACAAAAGAATGAAAAATGTCACACAACTAACGAAACTCAATTACCCTGCATTAAATAATTAAACTTATTTATAATCTACGCTGACTATTGCCTTAGCCTAATATGTATCATGTTTGAAAGTATTATGTTAGAAAGAAGTCGGTTGGGGAAACAAATTACAAAACATTCGGTGTGGGTGTATGTTTGTGTATATTTCGTTCTTCAATACTCGTGGAAAAAAAATTTTCCATTAAATAGATTTTGTTTGGTAATTACTCTTTTGTACGTGCCTGCGGTCCTATCATACACCTATACACGCTTGACAAAACGTGTGCGATAGAAGTCGCTCCTCGCTCAAAACAGTAGACGGGGAGAGAGTGTGAGAGAGAGAGAGAGAGAGAGAGAGAGAGAGAGAGAGGGAGACGAAGTCAAAAGATCAGAAGGTGTGGCTGACCGTAGTAGCGACCGTAAAAAAGAGGGAGAGAAACTATCGTGTAGCCGACTCTTTCTCCCCTCCTTCTCACGTATTCGGGCATTGTAACGCCAAGCATCAACGAGCCGAAAGGCGACTAAACTATCCTCTGTGTGCGAAGAAGTGCGAACAGGGCAGGAACCTGGCGTGCAGTCGTGCAGTGTAGTGCGTAGACCTGAGTGCGGTAGGCGTCGTGAGTACGGGAGAGCGAGCGCGACTGCGATGCCTTTCCTCGGGTTGTGCTGGGGAATCAGGTGGAGTAGCAGCGTCGCCGTTTGATGCGTTTTTGGAGACGAAAGGGAAAGCATCATACGGGAGGAAAAACATGCAGCCAACGTGTGCTGCTGCTGTCCCCGTGAGGACAACGTAAATATTAGACGAGAGGAGGAGACCTACCTGGGTCGCAGTTGTCTTTCTTTCTCCTTTTTTTTTCTCCATAACACAGCGTTTCGGCTACATCACAATAGAAAGACAAATACGTGCAATGATGATCCACGATTTCTTACACATCTTCCAGGGTTAGTTTTTATTACGAATTTCTTTTACCCCACATATCTTTTTGTGTTCTTTATGTTTTTTTTTTATTTCCATCTCTCTCACTCGCTGTCTGCCCGTCTCTCTCTCACTCACTCCCTCTCTCTCTCTCTCTCTCTATATCCAAACAAGATCCTAACTTTCTCTTTCCCCTCTCTTATTCGCTTGGTCGCCTTCGTAAGTTAGGGTCGCGCACTTAGGTTATGCCCTCTGAATTTGGACTCGTCGCCTTTATCATCATCGTCGTGAAGACGATTGTCGAGTCGTTGTTTTGCGCCAGTTTAGTAGACTTGACAGATAGCAGAGACGCGCGTCCGAAAAAAGGCAAAGAGCGAGCGAGAGACAGAGAGAGAAAGAGTGAGAGATCAAGTGAGATAGAGAGAGAGAGAGAGAGAGAGAGCGTGAGCGAGAGCGGGAGGCAGGGAGGGAGAGAGTGAGCGAGTGAGTGAAAGCCCTCTCTTTGAAGAGGGGGAGTCTGTATGTACGACATCGTGTAAATCACCGTTAATCGTGGCTGGATAACTAGGCTGCCCTTTTGTAGTTGCAGCTACTCATGATTATTGAAGAGTAGTCCTGAGTGAATTAACAAAGGCACATGTTTGAGTAACGGTTGAGTGAGGATTTTGGTCAACGGAGAAAGAAAGGCCAATCAAGTCACAATGAGTAGTTGGACGGAGAGAATGCATCGACGTGCAGCAACTCTTGGCAATGTAGTTACCAGTTGTGGACACCCTTCGTCCGTATCACCTTATCCACGAAGATTGGAAAAGTTAGTATCACCGTTATTATCTATTTAGATCAAGTTTGTAGAACGAATATTATTGAGAATAACTATATCAATTGACTACTTTACTTTATTTATTTATTTTTTCTTTTCATTTTTACATATATAATTAAATGCAAATAATATACTCTATATTATTCTATAATATAATCTTGTATAATCTTCTATTAATATAATTTTGTATTAAAAAAAATTAATTTTTTAATCTTAAAGTTTGTTATTAAAAATGAAGTGCTAAAATGGATGTTGTTTATTTGTTTTTTTACGCTTTTGGATATTTATAAGTGTAGTAGTCAAATTTCAAGAAATAAAATTAGCATAATACAAAAACACAAAGAAGACAAAATTATGTAATGCAGAATAGGTGCCCCTAATTATTATAAATATACCTACAAATGTATACAAATATTATTTATATATTAATGAAATGAAATTATTGAAAATTTAGTTTAATATTCTGATTTTAAAAATATTAAGGTAATAAATAATTAATTTTATTTTATTTTTGATATTAAATTAATACGAATTGTTTCATTAATCAATAGTGTTTGTATAAAATAAAATCAATAAATGATATTTTAATATCAGAATTGTACATTTAAAATTTCTTATCGACCCCTCTTTATCTAAAAAATTGATTTTATTATTTCATAAAATTTTTTAAAGAGTTAAATTTGGAGTTCCACTTGATGAAGTCTGTAAGAATGACATACCTGGACCATTATTGGTAAATTTTAGTTACTAAACTTTATAACAATAATGTATTACAAGCCTGTTAATCTCTTAAATTTGTAGGTTTTAATTTTGAAATTAAACAAAGAAGCTCCATTACGTAAAGATGTATTTCGAGCTCCAGGGCACCAGGGTAACATGAAGAAATTGATTCATTTTCTTCAAACTGGACGATTAGTGAACATGGATAATTTCAGCGTTTATACAATAGCCAGTGTTCTTAAAAAATTTTTGCGTAAGATTCCTGGTGGTGTTTTTGGAAGAGAAGGAGAACAACAATTGTTCAGTGTTATTCAACTGGATAGCATAGAACAACAAAGGGACCAGATTCACAAGTAAGATAAATAAAATACCTAAGAAGAAAACAAAATCGTGCTAATGATTTAAACATTAGATTTTCATTTCTTTTAAATATGTAATTTGTATTTATAGTGTAAATATTTTTACAGATTGATCACTTCTTTACCAGTATATACTCAACGTTTATTGGTATTGTTATTTGGAACATTTAGGGTGGTTGCAGTAAATAGTGAAAGAGCCAGAACAGGTATGACTAGTGAAGCCCTTGGTGTTTCCGTTGCTCCATCTTTCTTCCAAAGTTGTGTTAGTGATGGGAAAACTGCAAAGATGGAAGACGTTCTTAGGTTTAAGGTATCTTTCATTGTTTTTAAATGCATTAATAAATAAAGTAGGCTAAAGATTTTTGTCATAACAAGCTATTGTACAATTTTTAATTTCTAATTCAACATTAATATGGTTATTATTTATCAAAGAGATTAACACTTCACAATTTATGCATATTGAAAAAAAAGATTTGTTTTAATTGTATAATTTAAATTATAAAATCAGTATTATTTATTGTTATTATACCATGATTTTTTATTTTATTTTATTGCATCTTATAAGTGTTAAATTTAAGAATAAAATAGAATGCTTAAATTTCAACGATATTAATTCAAATGTCAATCGAAACTATAACAAACAAATCCCTTTTTTTTATGCATCCTCCATGTTAAGCCTTTGTCGAAGCAATATTATTTACATTGCTTAAAATATTAAAAGCAAATAATTAATAAAATTAATGAAATCAATATGTAACATTATATTATTATCATTCAAATTGCAATCATATTTGAAAACATCTCTTCTCTAATTTTTCTTATTTATTTATATAATATTTATTAACTTTTTAAGATGAAATTAATATTAACATACATATTCTAATATGCTGAAAAATGTTATTCAGATTAAAAGAATTTAATATTAAGAACTGGATTACTTTACTATAGGATACATTAAAAACTTTATATAATGCTTTTACCACTATGTTATAAATAACATAATTATAATTAATATAATAAATAAAAGAGTTTAAAGCTTTTCTGTAATTTTCTACACACAACAGACTGTATGGTAAAACTACTTCAAATTTGTTTTTATAATAGTAAAATAATTATAATTAAAGATTGAACAAAATATTTTAGTGGATAAAAAAAAACATTTAATAAATATTTCCCGTTCAATGTTGTTTGTAATATCGATGATATTGTGAGAAATACCACGTTTGGTTATTCACATTATTATTAAATATTTAAATTTATGTATTGTCGTATTAAAATTATTATAAAGGGTATAATTGACATAATACTTATAAATAAGAAACACCAAATATCAAATTACCCATTCATTCCATGCATGCCTTTTGGCTTGAATCAATTGTAGTACAGTATGATTCTTTTTTTTTTCATATTTTGCCTTCAATCATCGACAGGCGGAAGTGTCAGTAAGTTTACCATACCGACATTATGTTGTATGTTTTCACTTTCAACCAGTTCTGAGTGTTTAAAATATTGTGATGACTCTTGTCGTAGATTTCCTTCTATTATCGTCTTTCTACAAATATTATCGTATAGTAGATGAATTGCGTAAAGCAAGCATGAAGTGAAAAGCAGTCGACTAATAAAATCAATATAACTTAATTACGAACGAATTTATTAATGCTTAACAAATTTACTATGCAATTAGTATGCATGATGATTTAAATACAGTAGGTTATTTAAATTATTAAAGGGGATGGAGCCATGATAGACGTTCAGATGCTATAGGGTAAAAATAAAAATATTACATCTCTTGACAATATGTAAGACATTTCAATTAATTTTAAATTTCGAAGTATTAAAAATAAAGTTCGTAATATCGTAATTTTAAATAAATAATAATAATAATAAATCGATTGAACGTTAATTGCAATAATTTTCCCTTTCAACATATGAGCATGGCATAAGTGCTATTGTTATTATCTATTCGAATTTAAATATTGAAAATGATATCATTGCTAAATCTCCTTCGTTATTTCTTATTTGTTTTATTATTATTTTTTCTTCTTATAACTTAGATACAACCGTTTATATTTAAAAATTTATATATTTTTAAAATAAATTATAAATTATGGTTTCCATATAAATTCAATGATGTTATTGTAGTAATCATGAGATATATCGTAGAATATTTAAAAAATATGTTAGTTTAAATCGATATGTCAATTTTTTGTATAATTAATTAAACGAGTATTATTTATATTAATTTGAAAATGTTTAGGTTGCTACAAGAGTAATGAAGTTCATGATAGATAATTTTGGGGTTTCGAATTTATTCGGAAGAGAGAACTATGAATTTTATGCACGAATTACTGGACGAATACTAAAAGTCGAAGAAGACTGGATTTTTAGTTTTCGTTATCCCCCCGATACGTTAGTATCACGTAAGTATCTAATAAAATATATTTATTATTCACGTTATTGTCTTATCTAAGAAATATTTCGGCTTTAATTTTTTTTTCAAAATTTCTTTTTTTCATTGCTTTAAGTAGTGAATTTGTAGTTGTTAACAATAAAATAATGATGATTATTAGTTACACCTTTTTTTCGTATATCACTGCAGGGCAATTGTCACTAGAAGCAGAAAAGACTTGGTTACAATATGAATGTGAGAGATGGGGATTGAAGTTTAATCTAGAATGTAAGCTTGCACTGTAATACGAAAAATCGCACAAAAACTTCATCCGATCATATTTTTATAAAGTACGGTAAATCTTTTTGTTATATAGCAATGTCTCATCAAGAAGAATCACAATCTACTCCAGCATTAATTCACGTACCAGAATCCTTAGAACTCACATCGTCGCTTGGAATGATTCCAGAAAATACACTTCTAGAAAGCTATACTCGCCTATCAGTTAGTTTAGAGGAAAATGGTTTTTTTCAAGTACGTAAACATATATCAAACATTTAAATTCAACAATTTACGGTTTAATTTATTTTTATATTACAAATTTTTCATTTTATGAGAAATCAAGCCAGGCTATTTTTATTGTATAAAAGTTACCATCTCATTTTACTTCGTTAGTAATATCAAGCATTTTTAAAGAAATATAAGCTATTTAGATGTGATTTTTAATGTGAAATATTTGTCTGTATTTTATTTACAATTAATTTTTGGAAGAAATAATGTATGGACCATTTACTAGTCGGTAATTGAAACTCAACAAAAACTACAATCGAAGTTTTTCAAAATAATATATTTTTACTTAGAAGATAATACAGAAAATTAAAATGTATTTTCTCGAAGTTTTTTCATTAAAAATTTTTTATTTAAAAATTTTGATAATATGAAATGTAAATAATTAAAGCGAATTTTAACATGATATATATTAAAAATTGGATATTATAAAAGCTCGTAAATTAATTTTTTTAATAGTGATTTTAATTTTTTAATATAATATTTTATATTTTTCAATGCTTCATTAACACCAACTTTTTTTTTCTTCTATTTATTGTACGTATACAATTTTCTACTAAACATTTCAACTTTAATTTTGATAAAATTAAGTTAGATTGCATCTGTATGTGTGTTACGTAAATAATAATAAGAACAAAAAAGAAAATAAGTAAGATAAATAAATAAGAACAAAAATATTGTGTAGATCTATATATATATATATATATATATATATATATATATAGTACAGTATATGCAGGAATTGCCAAGTTTAAAGATAATTAATTTTTGAACTAAATCTCTTAAATATATATATATATATATATATATATATATATCGTAAATGTAAATAATTTCGATTCTGATTGTAGGCTTCGAGTCGGTCATCAAGCAATGGGAGTCACCACTCGCGTCATGCAGGAATGACACTGGACGAACTTCGAGCAGTTAATCGTTATGCCGAAAGTACGAAGAGTCTCAGCTACTTGCCTCAGGTAGGCGTGGGCGAAGCTTAAGCGAAATGATATCGTTAAATAATTAGATTTTTCGATCGAACATTAGTCATTTTTAAAAATAATAACACGTATATAGGTCTCAAAAATTTACGTGATCAAATGAAAGTAAAAGAGAATATCTACATTAGTACATTCCTGAACTCGATCGGGTTTTGAGATTAGTATATCGTTGTAAATCATAAAGAGAATGTAGATGTATTCATAGCTTAATTATGTTACATGGAAATTTATTAATTAGTAATTTAGCATGCCATGCGTTAATCATGTTTTTAATTGCACAAATCATTTAAAGAAACGAAAATTCCAAAATCATGCACCTTAAAATTTAATGCTTCTTTTTTGCATCACTGCAGTTTGACAGCACCACACAAATTATAATTATTAATTAGCAAAAAAGAAGTAGGATATTGACATTCCATGTTTGGCTTTTAAATTTGTATTAAAGCTACGCGTTAAATCATCATTAATATATCAAATTAATTGGTATAACAAGTTCTTTGCTATACTAAAAAAATCATGCTGCATAATTTTTCAATAAATGCGAGATCCCACGAAATTACGCGACATTGCTCAATGCGACATCGAGTATAAGCAAGATACTGATACAACAATTAAAGAGAATGAGACTGCATAAGTGTTTTTAAAAAGATTTTCATGTTTACGCATTTAATTTATTGAAAATGTTTGTCCATCGTATTTAGTGTAATTTCATTTGTCGTTCATAATTTTTGGTTATTTTTTTGTTCATTTTTCTGTTGCGTTCTATTATAAATAATTAAATAATTATTGCGTTTAAATGTAGCTTTCATGGAGTCAATTTGCTCATTATTGTTGTTCATGAAAAAATTTAAGGCATCTCACGTCATCGAATTAAGAAACAAGAATAAATGCATTTAAAAATAAGAGCTTTATTGCATTAATCTGGGTTATTTAGAATTGTGAAGTTTTTAATTAAATTACGCGCGCACGTAAATTCGATAAGAGCATTATTTAAAAAAATGGAACTGAGACATAGCGAAGTAATGCTAAATAGTTAAAATAAAATGCTAAATTAAGTGAGGAGCCTCAAATTTTCATCAATATAATAGTGGTTACATTTATTTATACGTTTTTTGTATATGTATTTATGATTAGCGGATCTGTAGTAGACTTTTTAAAATTGTTTAGATTATAGGCGTTTTGAGGAGAAGGAAAATTTTTTTTACAGTAAATTGCAATACTTATAAATGAGGTGAGGCTTAGATCACACGTTAATCTGTATGTACATAAAGCCGCACATTGAGTATCATCTCGGATTAAATTTTCACCTGCTTGAATGTAATACCGATGTATAAAAACGCCACCTTTTGCACTTTCTTTATACAATTTTTACGCTGGTTTGTGAGTGCACAGAACTTATGTATCAAAGACTCAAGTAATATAATATATGTCACATAAATCTTGTTTTTATTTTATAAAAAGTGGTATGATTCTGCTCTTTCTTGCACGTTGCACGTTGTTATTAAAATAAATGAATGAATATACTTTATCCCTTGGGAATAATAGTGAAGTACATCCTGATATCGATACATGATAATTAGACTCTTTCGCGCCCACATTACAATGTTTACGAATTGCAATTTAATAATAATAATAATAGTAATAGTAATAATAGTAATACTAATAATAATAATAATAATAATAATAATAATAATATTATTATTATTATTATTATTATTATTATTATTAGTATTATAACAATTGCTTTTGAAATAGAGGAAAACTTTAGTACTGTACACATGTGATCACGGTATGTACTTATACATTATATAAATTTGTTTGAGGACCTTCTGTTGTAAACAGCCTAATTGTTCAAGTCAATGGCAGTCAATTGGATATCACCAAGCAAATTCTTATCTTTATTTATCCAAGTTACTCTAATTAAATAATACTTTAATATTTAATAACACCTTCCATCATTCTTTTAACTAGCTCTAACGAACTACAATTTTTTTCGCCACGTTGTTTACACTTTAGAAATTGGCTTTCGCACCACTTTGTTAAATATTGCTGCTGATTGTATAATTTTGAACTAATAACAGTCCAAAAGTCGAAACAACTATCCTTGATCGATGCACGATTTTCGTCAGGTACATGAGCGACAAACCGCACGCATGCGAACTAGGTCCGAATGGTTTCTCACTCCCGTGAGCGAAAGACTGGCCGCGACCGACAGCGATCCTACGGCTATACACGTCCTTCGCGGCTCCAATCGGTCGTCGTCCGGCAACATTGGTAAGTTCTCATTCAAATTACTTTTCCATCCTTACGTGCTACATTGTTGAATATCGTTGTAAGGCTTAAGAATTGGTAAAACGGAATAAATACGTGCACGAGCAGTGCAAATGCAATACTTTCCTAATTATCTTTCTTGAATCAATCATTTAACATTGCCATTAATTTTGCTGGTAATAAGGAGGTGGGCACTTGATCAGGCCAACGGCTTAAGATTATTCTCATTCGAGGCGTATATTTTTACAGAAATGGATTTTAAATATGAGCACGGATGATGTTTGAATGGATTTCTAGAAACGACGAGCCGAGATACGACTTTTGTAAGCTAACGAGCCGAGCAAAGACTGCAAACGTTCCATACATTCTAGCCAAGTCGGTATGAATATGTAAGGGAACGGACCCGAGCTTAACACACCCGCTTCCAAGCTTTGCTACCTGTGCGAGCCTTGAAACACACCTCGAGCCACTGTAAAAGTTAACGCAGAATCTAACTTTATAACTACACTAGGGCCATCGTACGAACTCGTTGTCGTACGACTCGCTCAGACCAGAGAGCCAAACGTCGTTAGTCTGTGTCGCAGGAGCGAGCTTTCGAAGCTTTCGGCTTATAAAATTTATATTATTTTTGCAGTTGTCTGTCGTTTTAATTGTACAACCGAAAGCCTCGGTTACGCTTGTCTAGTCGTTGCCTTCCCATCAAGTATTAAAGCCAACAAGTATTAAATGAACTAGCGCTACGATTCGCGCTAACGTCTAGCCAAGTCACGAATGTTGTCATTGAGAGAGAATGAGAGAGCCCGAATCAAAAACAAAAAATCTGTACGAGAGTCGTACAAGTGTTCTTTGTTCGCAGCAACGGGGTTAAGCGCAAGCGCTGAATCGGTGAAGCGTCCGAGTTTACGAAGGAACTCTTCACGGGAGAAGTCTCGGCTGCACCGTAGCTCCTCCCGACGCAACAAGGAGAATGGGGCCAAGGTTCGAGGCTCCTCCGAGAATTCCAAATCTCGCTCTCTCGAGACTGTGAAGGTGAAGGGGGCGCGGGTAACGATCGACCAGCAGTCCGCCGAGAAGATTATCAGGAATAGCGAGGAGCAGCTTGGCGGCAAGATGCATCAGCAGGGGGACGTGGCTATTAGGCCCCAGGACTGCACCGAAATGGACGTACAAACTTTTCACGTCACCCTTACCTACAAGCCGCGAATATAGGAAATTTGTACTTTATGCAACACTCGAACTCACTGCGATCCCTTCCGTCCTACGACATTTATATTTATTACTTTCAATTTTATTCCACGTTATTCTATTACCTTTTTCCTTTCACACTCTTTTGATTACTTCTAATCACGCGCGACTTGGCTGCTTCGATCGTATTAATTGCACTTTATTTTACCTGCAACTCTTTATTCCTCGTTATTTACGTAGTATCTCAATCTATTTGCCTGGACCTTTTCGCATGGATGGATCTTTTTGCTCGTTAACCTTTAAAGAAAATATATTTTGATACATTTCAATTCATTCTTATTAATAACGAACACATTTTTGTGTTATTTTCGTTGTCTATATAAAACAGAAAGTAAGTTTACAGAGACATACGTTCGCTATCCATTACATTTTTCTATTTGAAAAATTCGTTCTATTTGAAAAAATATATATTTTTCCTTTCTAATACGTTGTTATGAAATAGCTGACTGTTGTACAAGATTATCAATAAAATACTGTGGACGAATCTAGCAACATCAGTATTCAAATAAAAGGAATTATACGTAGTATAATTTGTAACAACGATAAAAACAACAATAACAATTTGTATAATAATAATTGTAATAGAAACGACATACTATTAATTATAACAATATTAAAGCTGCTACTAGCACTACTACTACCACTACCACTACCACTACCACTACTACTACTACTACTACTACTGCTACTACCACTACCACTACACTACTACAACCACCTATACTACTACTACTACTACCATTAATAATAAGAACAGCAACAACAATAATAATAATAATAAATATAAACAATTATTCCACGAATTTATAAATTAAATTTTATTGATTGTAAAGCTTTAGAAGCAAAGAACGTATGTATCATTGAATACCGGATTTCATATCGTTTAATTATTGAAGCAAGTGATACAGAAGTCGGTAAATGGCTTTAAACCAGTGTGTAGATATACAATTTGTATGACGGAACATTAGCAGTTATATGAGAGACAAAAGATTTTATGCAATTCACGTAGGTCGTAAAATCATAGCCAAATTTTTTAACTTATTTGATACGTCTATGTCGTAAGTTTATACCGAGTCGATCATCGTACAAATTCATTTTTGTATAACTGTATTCGAGTTCGATATAATATATTAATTATTTAACAGTCCCTCCATTACGAAGAAACAAAAAAAAAGGCAAAACAACAAAAAGCGAAAAAATTTACATTTTAAACTTTGTTACTTTATATTGAATTTTGCATTGTATTATCGAAACGAGTTGTAAAGCTTGTAAAGGCCAGCATCTCAGATGCTACAAAAGATGCATTTGAGAGAAAGATAACTAATATATATGTTTGGTGTCGTTGATAATTTTAATTAACGAATTTTGTATATTTACACGGTATATATATTACGTTTGCTTCAAACAATATTGAATTTTAGTGATTATAATAAATTATAAGGGTTGAGATGAAAACAAATTATATGCTCATGGTTTGAGTGAGGGGTCTTTTTTTATATTTGGCTTGTATATATAACATTCAAGACCTTAAATAATAATGACTGAGAAAAAAAATAAGATTAAATATTTCGCCGTTGAATCGAGCCAAACTAACGTATATGATATATATATGTATATATATATCTATATATATATACGAAGATAACGGGGAAATTCGTTTGCATTTTAGCTATAAGCTCATTCCATGAATCGATTTTTATATTTTACATTTTTTATGATTGATAAATCATACAGCACCATTCCAAGCGCATTTAAGTATAAGTGTAAAAATTCGTCATCTTTATCGAATATTGTAAATTGTTTATTTCTCATTGACTTATTTGTATGGTCGGAAATATATTAGAGAACACAAAAGTATTAAAACAATCGTTGTATTGGCTAAAAGCCGAACAAAGTGAGAGCTCTCTATTAAGTATCAAAAGGAAAATGAAAAAAAAAACAATAGTTAAACGATTACTTGCCATTATATCAAGACTCTGTTCGATATAAATCTCAAATAGACGTTTGCCTTAAGCTTCATAAAAACTTATGAGAAAATAGTTTTGTTTCAAGTGAGGTGAATAATTTTTAAGGTGTGACGTCATATACATAAATATAGAAACTTGTGCAATCCACATAATAGAAGTATGATAAAAAAATTAATTTATACCCGTAGTGTACTCAACGTGACGTGAATTCATCCCATCTGACAACAAATGTTTTTAAAAACTTAGCGATTCTTATATATGAATATATATATATATATATATATATATATAGAAATACACACTACAAAGAGCACACACACGTATATAAATATACATATGTATACAGATGTACATTTACACGATTTTTTCGTGCTGAGTGTTTGATATTACGAGTATTTAGATATTTTAAGATTAAGAACATAATTTAATGTATAAATTTTATTATTTAAATAATTTAAAAATAATCTTAATGTTATTAAAACATTATTACGGAGAAATGGAGTATTATTGCATTATATTGCAATTAAGTACAATTGATTTTTGAACGATCTACAATTTTAATAATTTTTCTTATGCATATCTGACGATAATGTCAATTAGTATCTTTAGTATTATTTTACATAAATTAAAATATAAAAAAATTTTGAAAATAAAAAATATGGAATGAAAGTGACTTTTAAGTCTTAATTTTTGTTCGATTTAGCAAACGCTTGTTTTTGCAGCACATTTAGATATTATTTTACAAATAAATACAAAATAATAAAATTAAACACCACATTAAGCCCACCTATTGTGACGTAGTTTAATCTATGCAAATATACATTTTGGTTTTATACAACAGTTAGGAATATATTTCTGCAAGTAAATCGAGTCGACATCGCGTTGTCGCTTTTCTTTAGAAATGTTTTAAATTTTTATAGTAAAAGATTAATTATATGTATACACACGCATGCACACATACTTATACACATGTATGCTCAAGCGCGCATACACATGCTCGTACAGCCACATTGTATGTGTAAATCTTTTCTTGACTGTTTTAATAATTTTTTGTATATACATAATGAATTTTAAGATAAATATTATTCCATTTGTTAATGAAAAAGAAGCATAGTTGTGACGAATTAAGTGATATGAAGAAAATGAAAATCGTCATTTTGTTGTCAGGTTTTTATGTATCTATTATTTTATTTTTGCTAGCACCAAAGAAATTTTATCAAATGTATTATTTCATACTATTATTTTAATCTGATTACAGCGATAAAAATATTTTATCCGTGACTGAGTTTTTTTTATACAATAATGGTTGGAGTAAATAATGCTATAGAAAACCATTTTTTGATTCATAATTTTTTATACTAATATAATTAGGGTTTAAAAATTGTATCGAAATCAATGATTATTACAATATGAATATATAAATATTATATATTGTTATTTATATTCCTGCTATGATCAGTATTTAATATTCATTGTAAAAATGTTTTCTTTTGCAATATTTATCATTAATTTATATGTAAACCTATAAAGTAACGGTTTTTCTTCCTTAGCATATTTGTACTGAAATAATAAATTGGTTTTTCTTTATGCATAAATAAATCAATCTGTGATCTCTTGACACCGGATTATACATGAATAAAGTGTTCAATAAAAATTTTTTGTTTTTGCAGTTGAAACACCTATTTACATCATTCCCATAGTACAACTATCTATAAAGTTACAAAAGTTTTATTAATATTATATGTAAATATTTTTTTTATTTACTACAATTTATTTTTGTTTAAATAAATATATACATCTGACTTATGTTTTTAATAGATCTACAAAGACTTTACGAGGCAAAGCAATGTTGCCTATCATTCGCATTTTTTTTTTTCCTTGTGCTTGATTTTGTAACAACTTTATCCTTCTTGTAACGTCACCGCCATACTAAATACAATTTAATTAGTCAACTTTATAAATACTTCAAGAAACAATTATTAATTATTATTTAAATTGTAATTGAAAGTATTACCAAATGTGCTGTAACATCCTTTCTTAAAGCTGGCAAGTTTTCTCTTGCTAAAATTTTGCTTCCTATTCGTGCTTGAATTGAAATAAGAAATTGTTGTCTCGGTATTACATTTAATAATTTAGCACATATTTTTTTTGCCTTTGAAACACTTTTACTCATATTAACAATTGTACTAAGCTCTTCCACTGGACGTCCATTTAATAATATTTCCATCTAAATTAAATGAATTAACTATTTTATTTTTTACTGTTTATTTAGATAAGTATTTAATTATGCTAATTTTACTTAAAACAAATTTGAAAAATTGTAATCTTTCAGATTAGAATTTTTTAATTGATTTAATTTACAATTTTATGTTTTACCATCACAGCTTATTTTTACCTTTGCTATGTCACTTAACTGATAACCATAATCTTCATAGTCAAAACTTGCATATCCAGAGGTCATACGTTTTAATTCGTCATGAAAATCGGTAATAATTTCGTTTAAAGGTAAGATAAATTGAAGTATAATTCTTGATTCATCAATGTTCTTATTTGATTTTTCTATACCTCTTCTTTCCAAACAAAAATGTAGAATAGATTGATAATAATCACCTAAAAAATTTACAATTATTTTTAAATATTTAACAATTTTTATATAATAATATATAATTGATATATTTTTAATTATTTATAATGTTTAAGCTAAAATTTAATGATTTAGCATAAATAATAAAATATTGAAAATAAAAAAATTTATTTTGAAATAAAAATTAGTAGTGAAAGCTGAATATTATGAACTAATAGTAACATTCATTTTCAGTATAAATTTATTTATACTATTTATACATATAAAATGTTATATACCGAAATAATTTTTATGCGACAAAATAAAAAATAAATAAAAATAATATCTCATTTAAATAATTTTTAAGTTGCAGATATTCTATTATTAATTTATACTTTTTTATTTCTTTCTCATTCCACAATTTACAACAATATAACGATTATTTCTTTTCATATAAATTAAAAAATATTTGCAATACAATATGTAATTTACAAAGTCATTAGAAAGTAAACTTTATAATTAATACTAAAAATATATTTCATGTATTCTTCAATATAAAAAAGAAACTATTTTATTTAAAATTATATAAAGTTACTTTAATAGAAGTAAATAAAAAGAAAAATAAATATATTAAAAAATAACAAACCTGGTGTTATAATTGTTCCTAAAACTGTAGGTTCATACATTTCCTTTACTATACTTATGTTGGGAATATGTGATGGATTACAAAAATAAACTTCATCACTTTTATAATGAGTAATATTTTTTTTACCAAAAATTTTTGCTTTATATACAACTCCAGGTGTAGTAAAAATTGATGGAGTATCAAATTCTTGTTCAAGTCGCTGGCTAAACACTTCCATATGTAATAGTCCAAGAAAACCAAGTCGCCATCCTTGACCTAATGCTGGGCTATATAATTAAGTGAAATTAAATTTTATTTATTGTTTATTGAAATAAAAACATAAATTAAACAGCATATTTCTTTCTAAAAGTATCGGTGTTAGTATACATACTGTACCTAGATTCATTTATTATTGATACTGCATTGTCATTTAAAGTTAACTTATCCATAGCATTCTTTAGAGAATGATATTGCGAACTATCTACTGGATAAACACCAGCATAAACCATTGGTTTTGTTGTGTTAAATCCAGGAAGAGGTTCTACTGGGTTACCATATAAGTAAAGAGTATCTCCAATGCTAGCTTCGTCATATTTCATTTTACAAATAATGCATCCTACTTGCCCTGCGTATCTATTTGTAGAGAACAATTTGTTATATATAATAGTTTAATATTATTTTTTGGAGGATTTTATGAATTTCATACATTTTGTTAACCTTTTCTTCCTCTGGCCTAAGAAGTAACAATAACTTCACTTCGTATGATTTTCCTGTATTACAAGATGTTATACGATCTCCAGTTGAAATAATTCCATCTTTAATATAAACTAAAAGGACTGCACCTCTATAACTATCATACCAACTATCAAAAATAAGTACTTTTAATGATTTATCTCTGACACATGTTGGCTTTGGAATTCGTTCAACTACAGCTTTTAAAACTTCATCAACGTAGGTACCATGTTTTGCAGAAATTTTAATAATTTCATCACCATTTATGCCAAATATAGTACTTAATTGTTGCTCTACTTTTTCTGGATTTGCATTCTTCAAATCAATTTTATTTATAATAGGAATTATTTTAAGCTTATTACCATGAGCAAGATAATAATTTGCTACTGTTTGTGCTTGAACACCATCATTTGCATCAACCACCAATAAAACACCTTGGCATGCTGCCAATGAACGATGCACTTCGGATGAAAAATCAACATGCCCAGGGGTATCTATTAGATTGAGTTGGTATTCTTTATTGTTTAGCATATATTTTAAGGAAACTGTTTGAGCTTTAACTGTAATTCCTCTTTCCTTCTCTACTTGTAATTTATCTAATACTTGCATTCCAGAATTTATTTTTATTGCTCCTGTAATTTCCAAAAGTCTATCGGCTAATGTACTTTTTCCATGATCGATATGTGCAATAATACAAAAATTCCGTATATTTTCTAACGGAATATTATATTCTTTTAATTCATCAGTGTTTGTTGAGTAAAAGTTGGAAAATATCATTGAAAGATAACTACAATATTTAATGAATACATAATTAAAAATTAGTTAAAATTTTTCCATCATAGTATTTTATCAAATTTTAATATATAACCATTATAAATTTTAAAATATTATCAAAAAGATATATGATAATTAATAAAATATAAAATTTATAATTTACAATAATTTAAAAATTTTTAATCCATAAATTTTGAATCATTAAAAATAAAATAAATTTTTTTTTTTAGATATACTTTAAAAATAATAAAAATTGACATTTATTCAATTTTTCTTTATAATACAATGTAACCACTTTATAATGTTTAGTTCACTTAATAATGAATAGATTTGTATTTTACTTATTTATAAATATAAAATAGTTATAAAAAAAAAAAATTTTATTATCGCCTACCTTTGTTTATGATTTAACTTTAATCTATATTTAAAAGAATAACTAGTCAAATTATATAGTATTTTTAATTTCATAATTAATGTTAAAATATAACTTTAGTTTAAGTAAAATAATTGTAAAAATGATTTTACAAATTGTTATATAAAATAAACTTAATTTATATATTATGTAAATCCCACGTGAACTGTAATTTATACTCTTCGTATATTGAAATCATCAACAGCTGATTTCGGTTTTTGAAACTAACTTTATTGGTCCTCAAATGTCCATTCGATTTCATTCGAAGCATTATGTATAATTATATGTCAAAATGAAATTAATAAATGTTTAAATGACTTGATTTAATAATGAAAACTCTTTAGATAGTTTTTGTATATTTGTTTTCATACATTAGTTGACATTAGTACAGTTTTTATACATTTGTATTTAGGAATTTAAAAAGAAATTAATTGAAACATAATTTAAATAATTGGCTTAAAATTAATGCTCCTGAATATTTGAGCTTTTATCAGTATATGTATAAATATATATATATATATATATATATATAAATAGCAATTAAAATTTATAATTATAATGAATTATTGAAAAGTGGAAAAATCTACTTTTCATTATATGAGAAAAAATAAATATAGTTAAAAGTTAAATTTAGAGAAATTCTTAGAATAATGAGCACGCGCATATTTATTTAGTAAAAATGCATTAATGTAAAATATAACTTTAATAACATTTCATTATATTTATTTATGTACATATTTAAAAAATTTTATATAAATATTAAAAATTTTATTTCTTATTTTTCATTATTACAATTATATAATACCATTATTTTATATATAATTCATAAATATTAAAGATTTTTCAAACCATCAATTAATAAAGTAGAATAAAATGTAAATCAAATGTAATGCGATTATCTAACCACGAAAAGCAATATAACCTTATATAATGTACGGAAATGGCATTAACAAATTGTTTGAAAATAGTTGAATTATATCAAACTTTCCAAAAATTTAAAACTAAACCGTTGAACCTAAAAACTATTATAAATTTAAACAATTTAGTATCATTCAAAGTTTTATCCAATAAACGTTTTAATTCATCTAATGCCTGTGATGATTCAAGTGATGCAATCCTGAAGAACTCGTTAAATGAACAAAATGTTTCAATTTTGCTTAAATTACCTGGTAAAAAGATAACGTTAACTACTCTTTTAAAAGCTAAACAATTATCTGCCAGTAAAGACATGAAATTGGTGAAAATTATCGATAGCAATGAAAATAGTAAGCCATTCTACAAGCTTATATCCATAACGGATGAATCAAAAAAAAACTCAGAATTTAAAGTATCTAAAAAGCAGAACATAAAGCATATGTATATTTCAGCAAATATTTGTGATCATGATTTGAAAATAAAAATTAAAAGCATGACAGGATTTCTTGAGAAAAATTGTAAAGTTACACTCAGCATTAATGCAGTTTCAAATCCATCCAAATTAGTAATTTTAAACAATTATTATCTTATTAATGTGGTAACTTTTTATTATAAATATTTTATATAATATTAAATATCTTATAATATAAAATACTTTATTAAATTTATTTGTTAATAATAATGAATAGCTGTCAGAAAAAATAAATGTTTTCTAATAGAAAGTTTCCATACAGTAATTATTGAATTTACAGATTTCTTTATATATAATAAATTATTATTTTTAAAGGATGAAATTTCAAATACCGTTATTAAAGAATTACATCAATTGTCCAAGTACAAAAAGCAAAGTGGATCAAAAAATATATCAAAACTCTTATTTATCCCATTTATTCAAGACGATACAAATAAGGATACTAATTCATCAAATGATAAAATTGACAAAACAGAAGGAAATTAAGAAGATTATAAAATACTAAATTAAATTCTGAACATTACCGATAATTATGGATAGTCAAATGATGGATTAAATAGGATAAATGAATATTTTTAATTCAGTTTGTATACACATTAATTTTATTTATTTATTGAAGTTCTAATGTTAATCTCTAACTTGTAAAAAGTATGTGAGACTTGTAAATTAATAAACTTGTTAATATAGATTATATTATGTAACTAAATGTTTTAATTAGGCATAAATGTAATTTAATAAATATAATACATAATTCTTATATTTATTTTGTATATTATTTATTAATAAGATTCTACATTAAAAATTTGTTTGTCAGTCAATTGTGTTTTCACATTATAATTATAAAGTTTTCATTTTTCTCATTAGTGCCATTTATATATTGGACAAAACTGCAGATATTTTAAATATGTAAATGATAATTATAGTTAATAAGTATGTAATTATAATATTGTGTACATAATTATACAGTAAATATATATTATATATAATAAATATGGTATATATAATATATATAATTACAGAATTATTTTACATTACTAGTGCAATATACATTTGATTTTTTACTATAATCTTTTTGTACCAATACTCACATGTATTAGTTTGATTTGTGCTTAATAATAGAACCAAAATATTTATAATGTCAATGTTAATGTGCAAAAGTAAAATACTATTATAAAACAATTATTCTTAGCTCCAAATGGTCTCGTAATTTTATAATAAATAATTAATAACATAGGGCAATAAAATTAAGAGAATTTTAAACCATAACTGTTAAAAATTTATATAAACAGAAGTAGCCAATATATTAATTACAGATAAAGAATACCTTGTAAAAGTATCCGATTATTATTAAGGTCATGAAGTAACATTCTCATGTGCTTGTAAAGAAACGTTTGTCGTAGTAATTGGTGTGCGTGTACCGGTTCTCGTTCATAATTTATGGAATAAACAATATTACAACGAGCAACGGGTATTATTGCAACTCATAATAAAAAAAACTTGTTAGTCTATAGCAGCTCTACACTTTCCAAAAGAAATATTTGACTGTAGTAGACTAGGAAAAGAATTATGTCGCGTGTACCCGTCGATTACTTGAAGGAATATATTCCTAGTATGCAGGAACTCTGCAGTTCTCCTTTTCAATAAGGGTGGAGCATATTCTATCGGTTAATCCTCGTGGTGCCACAACAATATTTCGCGTTCGTTGGCGTTGTGACAGTCCGGAAGTCGCTGTGCAGCTCGACCATAAGCTCCATTGACTTACCCGACAATGTCTCGATGCTGAAAAATGTAAAAATACAATTTCCCACTTTACTTGAAATTATAGTAAGGCTTAGTCGACACAAAGCGTAAATATTTTGATAGATAAAAATAATATATGTTATTTAATGATACAGCATAAATGATACATCATTTGTTTTCTTGTACTAAGTGTTTAATAATAAAAAACAATGGTATAAATTATGACTAAATAAAAATAAAAAAAAAAAAGAAGAAAGTATTCACATAATCTGTAATTATGTCTATTATTATCTGAAATCTTGCTTATTATATTGCATTGGATGTTTATTAAAGTTAAATTAGAATAACTTTATGAAATGCCATGATATTCAAATTAAATGTTGTTAAAGGTTATTTGAAATACAATATCTTGAATTATGCTAAAGTTTTTACATTGTAACAACTTATATTTTACATAAATTATAAAAAATTGTATAATTTTAACAAAACTAACAAAGTGATAATTATTTTACACAGATTGTAAATGTAACTAAGAATAATAGCGTAGAATGAAATTTTGTGTTAAGCAATGAAAATCATCATAACGCTGTTCTTCATTCGTTTCTTCATTTTTTCATACCAGTACAAGAACGATTGTAATTAATGCAATCAAGTAATAAATTATAAATCTATTGTTAGAACAAAAATGAAACATCGCAATAGATACTATCAACTACATTAAACTTAGCACATACAGTTCAATTAATTGAAAAAGTAAATTAAATAAATTGGTAAATCAACAATTATTGAGTCTTATTTGTTTATAATTTATTAGGAAGCAGTACAAAAAATAATTCCTATTTTATTTGAACTTTGACTATTATAGATGAATTTCACTCCAATTTTTATTACCGTATTTAGAAATTACACGTAATATATGAATTTGATTCTGTATTTTTTATAAAATATAACTTTAGAAATGTTTCCAATATTATTATAGTATGGGAAAATACAGAAATTTTTTTATAAGAGATCTTGTAAGAGATGTGTAAATAATAGTGATTATTTTTTTTTATAATTGAATGACTTTAGAAATGATTATAGAATTTTACTTTTCTACCTTCTTCATCCATAGGATCTGCTTTATTAATAATTCTTTACTTAACAATTCGTTTGCGTCTGCTCTCTCCATCTGAAATATATTTTAATAATAAATATTATGTGTTTACAAATACGTTTGCGATATAAGCGAATATTATTATTTTCGATTTATGAAATTTATTAGCTTTGTGCATTTCGTGTATTCTATAATATTCAAAATTTAAATTAAATAACATTGATTCTAAATATTTACCACACTCTTCCATAACTTTATGACACTTTTTTATTCGAAATCGCTTGGTTGGACAAGGTTTACCTCCGTTTCTAGCTTCTACCTAAACACGACAATTACAAATTCATTCTCAATAATTAGTTAATTGGTTGGTCTATTTATTATTTAAGAGTATTTATAAATATACCAATACAGTGCGATTGAGTACAAGATATCCATCACAACTCGAACATAGAAAATTGATGTTCCATTCTGAGATTTTACAATCTACTTTCTCATCGTATGGCGAGTTTGATTTGGTCCCTTCATGATTCTTGTGCTTTTTCTTACGACGTTCGGAATGATTTTCTTCGTCTATCAAATCAGAGAACATTGACATGAAATGACACTTTATGCCAGTTTACTCGGTTGCCTTGGTACATTTAAAAATAATGGCGATAAAATGAAGATAAACGAAAAATATCAATCGCATTTTAAAAATTACAATTATAGACACCGAATTAATGATAATAAGCCAAATAATACGTTCGGTATATGCAAATTAAAGAAGCATAGTTTTAAATAGATGTATGATAAATATATGATATGACAAGCATGTTAGAAACTATTAGCAGAATATATTATTGAAACTATATTTTTATATGAATAACAAAAGAAAAAATCGAATAGATAAGTCACCACATATACGTTTGATCTTGAAGTTTGTTGCATCATCGATTAGTGGTACATTATAAGTGACAATACTGCTCAGCTGTACTTTATAATTTCTTAAATTTGAGTTATCTTCTGCCATTTCACCGGTTAGTAAGCATACAAATGTTTAACAAAAGCTTTTGTTAGTAATCGTTGAAGTTATTATTAAAATTCTATCGTATAAAAAAACAAAAAAAAAACAAAAAAAATTATTCGTTGATAATTTTTATTATTAATATTCCTTATCCAACAAATGAATATTTTGTATTTATTGCATATTTATTCCCATTTCCCCGCCATTTACTTGCATTAAATTGCAGTTATTTTTGTCGGTATTTTCAGTCCTACAGCCAACTGTATTAAAATTGGTTAATGCATGAATGAACTTACGGAATGTACTGCAGGTTGATTGGCATTCTTGAAACGTTCGAAAATTGTTCATATTACCATTACAACCGGTATAATGAAAAATTATACATGTGCCCTTGGCTTTGTCAAAGTAGTAACGCAAAGAATTGTCGTTGTGTCCGTCAGGACACTCGCCAGGTTGTTTCGGCTGTGAGCAAATCACTACACCACCACAAAAAATTTTTCATTTAAAAGATTTTGTATTTTTGTTTCAAATTTTACGGAATTAAATGTTTGCAATGTCGAACATTTCCATGTAATGCAGGGTTATAACGTAGAAAATTTCAGAATGTCATTTCAATTTGAAGTAAGCTGAAGAATTTCAATGTCTTCAATGTGTTTTATACTTATTGCAATACGAAGTATTAATATAATTATCAAGAAGAAATAGTCATGTAAATTTAAACATCAATTTACAATTAATTTACGTATACGTATTAAAGGTAACCGTCAACATATTATTTGAACGATAAGTCTATACTTCTAACTAATAAACTCTGCAATTTAATAAACATTAATAATTTGTGTAATTAAAAAATTGATTTAAATAAGGATTTGTAATTTCATTTTTTTAATTTTTTACTTTTATGCGATATATCTTTCACCGAATAAAAACATTGTGGGAAAATTCTGCATGAATTTTGATAAGTCAATTTTTAAAGACGCCGTAGCTTTATCTGAAAATTGAAAGATGTATTATAAATTTTATTTTTATAGAATTATATTATTTTTTTTAATTATTTCACTGCAAATAATATTGTTAGATATTAAATTTGTTATATTTATTAATATGAATTATTAGAAAACTAATACAAAGTTTTATGAAACACATGGAGAACTTTCTTATTTTTATGAAGTTTTTAATTAGTTATGTGTTAGATTGATTTTCATAAACACATATAGAATAATTCTTGAGTACGTGAATTTTAAGTGATAAAGGACATGTAAAAAAGGAAATTGTCAGAACGTTATATTATCTTCAAGTAATAAGAGGTTTTATTAAAAATTTGTGTAATATTAAACGTATGAGTTATAAAATTAATTCCCAGCACTTGGTAATTCTTATATATTTGAAAAGTTTAAGAAAATTGATGCATTTAAATAAGCAGTAGGTATAACGTAATTCTTATTACGTAAATATGTAAGATGAATTGTCTGCAAGTGCATTGAGCGTAGTATACTATCTATAATGTATATTATAAAGTGATTTTTTATTTTAAAATAAGAATGCACGAAAATACCTTCTGTCCTCTCTTTAGTGATTTGGCAGAATTTGGTTTTGCCCTCGCACGACGTTAATTGGTATAGACACTCGTTAATGCTGACATCTTTCCCGACGTCTGGTGAATTGTTCCATTCGGGTTTGATTTGTCGAGATCGGCCTTTCGTACCTAAGCCACATGACACCGAGCAGGGACTCCATACCGACCAATGGGTGAAGCGTTCGTTTATGCATTTCTGTTCAATTATTAATACGTTACTGCTTACTGTAGTCTTATATCTTAAGTTTTTTTTTTTTTTTTTTTTTTTTTTTTTTTTTTTTTTTTTATCTTAAAAGTCTTTTAATATGTTGAAAAAAGGTATTTTTAGTATTTATATGCCATTCAGGAATCACTCAATGAAGTATTTCATTAATAAGGACATATATCTGACTTTCATAAATATTGCCAAATGTAATAAAATTGTATTTTATAACACGAAATCTATATATTCATAGTGAAAATAAACAAATGTAAATATATTGTACATTGATTTCATTTGTAAAAATATTGAAATATAAATAAAAATTGATGTTTTCAATAAAATTGTAGAAAAGCTAGAAACACTTTTTCCTGCAGATATCGATATGAATAATATTTATAGAATTTAATTGCAGTACATAAGTTAGAATTTTTTTTCCTTGTTATATTTCACATATTAAGATGGTTATACAAGATATAACTGTTGTCCAATAGTATCAATTTTGTTAACGACTTTACTTTTTCTATATTTAGAGATATGGAAATAGAATATGTTTTGTTTACAATTTTGTTTACTATAAGATAAATTAAGCATATGTTATGCAGTTTTTTTTAAATATAGTATCTAATTAAATTGTTATCTAAAAAAATATAACTATAGGATTCTATATATTTTTTTAATGTTTATTTGACAGTCATTTTATAGTGATCAGCAGGCACAGATTAATATGCATTATTTGAAATGTCTAAGGTCTTTTTATAAAAAGTATTTTTTTAAATATTTGAGATTTTGAAGCTATTATTAATATATTTATGACATTTTTAAAGAAAATGAATTTTTTCTTATACAAATGATTTAATTTGAATAAAATAAGATTAATGTATTAAATGAAAAATTCATGATAGGCTTGTATAAAATTAATTAATGCACTCACACACACATATATATATATATATATATATAGCAATTACAAATTTGTACAGTAATTTTTGTTATTATAGGTATTATATAATAAAAAGACAGATCGCTATGAATGTGATTTCGAATAACTTTTTTAATCGTCCAGCATTAATATTATTTATATGTTTGAATATATATATTTGATTGAAGACTAAACGTTTGATCAAATCTATTAAAGATTATTATTATTTTTTTCAATCACTTTAAAAGTAATAATCAATAAATTATTATAAAAAAAAGTTGAAAAATAAATGTAATAATAATGTTATCAAAATTAAAAAAAGATCGTTTATATTTCGAAGTTTGTTTCTAACAAGTAAGGTATATTTTATTAACCAATGATGATTATTCTTTTACGAAACCCATAAATTGTATGATTTTAATTGCATAGTTGAAAATAGTTCCCTTTATAATCCCTCTTAAATACATGCATAAGTGACATTGGCAAATAATTCATAAAGACGATACATGAGAATTGCAATGATAGTAGCAACGGCCGATTTATACGAGACGCTCTTAGCTTGGAAGTTAAAACAGTTACGAAATTGTTAATGGGCAATTAAATAAAGCAAAATGAATGTATAACTTATCAAACTTGCGTTTGATTTGCATTTCACTTGATGAAGGAGAGAGAGAGATGGCGAGATGTTCAGTCAATGGATTTTAGTTAGTCTCTAGTTCTTTGTTAGTTTAAAAGTGACACCTAATGGAAAAGTGAATATTATATTAAAATACGTTTACATTACTACGCATTTGACATTTAGTAGATGTTCCACTGTGAATTTTTGGAATAAAAAAAGCTGATAGCAGTATCTTCAGCTATCTCTTTTCACCGGTTACCTTCTCGCCATTCTCCACCCTCATCAAATCCTCGTTCAACACCTCGGAAACATCGGCTGGGGGCTCGCTTTTCTCTCCCATCTCGTTCATTTCTCTTGTCTCGTACATCTCATTCATCTCGCTCGTCTCGTGCATCTCGTAAGTCTCGCTTACCGGTTCCAGTTTAGCGATGTCCTTGATCGTAGTGTCGGAGATCCCTGCGAAATCCTCATTATTGCACGACGGGTTCTTACAATCCATGGTCTGCTGGAGCTCTATACTCGGATATAAATGCTTGCACTTTTTGTGGTGCTCCTTCGATCGGAAGTTACGTTCACGCGTTCGACTCTCGGGGCCACAAGTCTTGGTGCAGGGCGACCACTCGCTCCAGGGTAACATCGGGCACTTTTTTTCATCGACTTCCTGGGGAGGACTGTCGTGAACAAAGAAGACGCTTTAGCCACTCAAGGCGACGTTTTTACACGCAGTCACTTACCATATGAAGTTTTTCTCGGTGTAGCAGGGGATCCTTTTGCTGAGTGGTATGTTACAGTTGTGCTTCATCGCCGATTTTTCATTCTTGTACTTTCGTTGTCTGAGCTTTATGCCTACGCCGCAGGTGACCGAGCAACTCTCCCATTGAGCCCACGCAGTCACCTGACACGCCTCTAAATTCCCAAAAGCTTCAGGTTACTTTTATCCTCATCCTTCTTTATTAATTTTTTTTCTACCAGTCATGCACTACATGAGGGTTTTACTTCAATTTCGCGTGTGCTTCGTGACAGTTCATTAGGAGATCTCTAATCATTCTGCTAGACTGTTCTTCGGAGAAATGATTATTTGCTACGAGATTTCGGCATATTTACTCAATACGTGTACCGCATCATTCGAATACCATACAAATTAGGAATGACGTGTTAACAACATCCAATGCATCGAGTGCAAAGGACTTTCAAAATGCTTGATACATCTTGACACGCGAATTCGTAAATTAAAAAAAAAAACAAACAAAATCATTGGAATAATAATTTGAAATTATAATTTGTTTTCATATATTTTAAATTCATTGACACAGTGTAATATTAATTAATGAATAAGCTTGGCTATTTGATCTAATAATTATCCATAACCGTATATTCTAAATTATTTATACATTAAATTTATAATCAATTTTATAAAAAAATCTATCCTCGTGTATACGTACCGTATAAGTTAATTAATTAGCAAACAACAAATGTTATATTTTAAACTATTTGCAGTGTCAAATGCAAAATTTAAACAATTCTTATAATAAAATTTCTTTCGTTACCTACGTTATCTAATTCTCATCTAATTATCTATATTGCTCTCTCCCTCTCTCTCTCTCTCTCTCTCTCTCTCTCTCTTTATTTCTCTCTTCACCCTCTTGCTCTTTCTTACGCATTCTTTCTTTATTAAACGAAAATAAAAAGCTTACTTAAAAATTATATATTTATCTATTTGAAAAAGCAACAGATGAATGAATGAACGGAAAGAAAATTTTTACCACTCTACGGTAATATTTATTACCTGCATTTCATAGGATAAGCGATGATCAGTTTAATTTTATTTATTATTTACGTATATCATACGTATATAATGTGTGTAATCCATATGAATGTGAGTTGATTGAAACTAATGGTTCAAATGAAGCTTATTATAAATATTTAATGTATGCAAATAAAAATGCAAATGCAACTAATACTTGCTACGCATAATCGGTTGATTTACACCTTCATTATTCTCGATCACCGGCGACTTTTCACAGTTTTTTTCATAGATCCGTTGACGTTTAATATAAAGTTTGGCTAAAGGATTCATGTCGATGGCTGTTAAGTCGTAAAAAGGCGAACGTTCGTCCTCCGGCCACTTTGTTGTTATTCTTCTAATAACATCACGGGGGTTTGTCTCCGAGTTTATTGCCTATTGCCAATAGTATGTAGATGTACATTTCATTAGTTTTAGTTACCTTTAATTGTAATTTTTTAATTTATGAAAATTCAAGGAGACCAATTGCTTATACAAATTTTATATTATATTGGATTCGTTAATACAACGATGGTTTTTACATATTATATTCCAATGTTACATATTGCATTTTCTTTACATATTGGAAATGACATTTAATTGTATTATTTCTAAAAATAATTATTTTCCATAGGTAAAAAAAGCATTTTTTTAACGCGCCTTAAATTTTTGCCAAAAAATAATCGAAATTAATGTACAAAGGAAAAATATGAAAATCAAAGCTAAAACGAACTTGATTAAATAATACATTATAAGACTATAAAAAAGTGGATAAATAGTATAGGATTGCACTTATAAATTAACTTACTTCGTAAGTAATGCCATCATCTGTACCTGCGTCAATTGGATACAAGTTGAGCTCTTTTTGCTCAATCCAAGAACAATTAGGTAAACAGAGCTCTAATCCAGATACACCAACGAACCAATCAGGCGATGGATCTAAAACATATTCCCTCAGGCATTTTTAATCGTTACACGCCTCTCTATCTTTTCTATTCCTTACTGAGAGTGAAAGGCATAAAAACTAATTATAGTTATATTAAGTATATACCTATCATCGAGACCAGTGACATAAGATGGTGTTGTTGATCAACTTTAAATACTGCAAAAGTCTTACTAGTTATATTTGGAAAGTTTATACCTCTAGCTTTGATGATGGTTCTTATATGAATACTCTGTAAATAGAAAAAAATAAAATTTCAACCTAATGAGCTGGTAACTGAGCGTCTAACTTATTGTTCAGATTGTACTTTGTTCTTTAGCTCCGATTCTAAAATTCGAGTTAAGCCATTTTCAGCAACTTGCTTTAAGCCTTCACTAGCAAAACCATTGTATTTCCAAAAACGATATTTTGATGCATGTGAAGCGCCAATTACATCGGAGAATCTTGCATTCCACGGTTTACTCGGAAAATTCTGTTAAAAAAATTCAATTTAACGAAGAAATTCACCTCTATAAATAATTATATGTAATTATAACACAATGTGCTCATTACTTTCGGATGAGTATATCTTGACCAAAGTCCTTCAAAGGCGAGCTCGTACTTGGCCTCGTTACAGGCACAGCATTCTGTCAATACAGGACCAGGATCATCAACGGTAGTTTTGGGATCCTGGCAAAATTTTTTGTCCAAGTTCCCATCCATGAACCAAATTGATGGTGATTCCATTATCGACACTCTATGAATTACCATATTCTCTATTACTTAATCAAAATAACGTTCATCTAATTATCTTAATTATCATAATTATTATAAAAATAGGAAAACAAACTCTTACATTCTATTGAAATATAGACATATAAAGCTTTGTAGATATCTTTAAAACTTAGTATATAGAAGTGTTATTAAATAAGTAAAGATAGCAATGATTTCTAAGAACTCGTCATATAAGCTATGCAAAAGACCAATGTAGAATTGTAATAAAAATATTTTCACCTGACAATGACGCATCCAAAGCCTTCTTCAGGACTCGTCCAATAAGTGGAAATTTCATCTTTTGCAACTTGCGATACTTGTGTAATTGCATCTGGACAATCCTGAGAAAATTCGCTTATTTCATCGTTATAAAGCTCAAGTAAACCATGAGGAAGCGATTTGTTTTCATTTTCTACAGTTAAGTAAAATCTAATGAAGGTTACATCTTCTTCGTCTGATTTTACAACAACTGAAATCGTTTAAAAGAATATTACGAATAATCAAATTATGTTCTTATTGAAGTAATAATTGATTTTCATATAATTTAATGGAAATTTAAAGTAAATATGTATATTTAAAATGATATAATAATTTAATAATTTTATAACATTTTTAATATATATATTGAATACAATTTACAATAAATAACTGAAAATAACGTTGCAATAAAATTTATATACTTTAAATTTAAAATAAATATTAGTTTAAAATTATTTATCAATAATATAATAAGAAAATTTTAAAGATATAATATTATATGAATATATCTTATTGAGAATTTTAATGATATTATTTAAGTAATTAGTAATTTAGTTTAATAGTTTAGTTTGATAATTAGAAATCACACAGCTTAAATATATATACCTTATAAAGAATATATAAAATATGTATTTTCTAATAAAATAATTTTTAAATGTATAATATAAAAATTAATTTATACTTTCTTTAATAAGAAGAATTAATTTCACTTGCAATCTATTTTTGTATTACACTGCATGTGTCGATATCATTTATTCTTGAATGTATTATAATAAAATAATAAAACCTCAATATATTTAATTATTTTTTTAATTTCTTTTCTAATTTTTATAATTTTTAGAAGAAATATTTGGACGAAAACAAATTTTTTTTTGAATAAATAAAACTTTTTGAGACGATAAATAATAATGTTAAACCAAACATTTTTTTAGACTTCAAAAATGCTAAAAACCAAATATTTTGTTCATAAACGTTTCTTTAAGTTATTTATATTTTATTTGATATTTATTAAATTAATATATGCTACTTGCAAATAAGAAAATTTGTAAATGGGAAGACTACTGATAAACACTTTAATGTTACATATATAATAGATAAATGTAGATATCCTTTTTAAATATTCTTTTTACATATGTTTTTATATTAATATTTATTAGTGTAATAAAACCAAATAAATCGAACTTTATTCACGATATTAATAAATTCTACAGTTATTATGAAGGTAGAAAGTATAAATAGTGTAAGATATATATAGCGAACTATTTTTTTTTTTCGAAATGCTTAATAAAAATATAGTTTAATAAAATTTTATTTACATAAATGAATAAATATTGCTCACTTCTTCATTATTATTTTTATCCTTCAATTATTCGGTTTTATAACTGTAAAGAATAATAATTTTACAATCGTAATATTACACAAATTGATTCTAGATTAATTTTAATAAACATTTAATTTATCAAGTCAAACAGACGGGAGTTAATATTTTGGAGTGGATGTTTGATTTTTCTTAATAAAGAGAGGATCTAATAACATAATAGACCATTACTTGCTTTCTCACTCTGTTCATCTTTATCTCTATTCAAGCTGCGTCCAGCTGTTGACTGAATTTATGGCTTCGTCCCTTGCATTAAAGGTCTTCGTTAGTCTGTACTCAACGAAATATATATGAGAGAAGAGGGCAGAAGGTGAGCATTTAACTATATTTAGGGCCATATATTGCCATATTATAAGTGATATATACATACATAGAATGTCTGTATAGTTTAGTATAAAAAGTATAGTGTTTAAAATTTTTTAATCGTAAATTTAATTATCAATATCAAATATTTCATACATGAAAGGATAGACTGAGTATAAATTAGGGTATTCGCATACTTGATCATCCAAGAAATGTCAGTTATAACGAAAAATACGTTATGGTTTTAGTAAAATATTCAATACAGAAGAATCTATATAAAACAGCATAGTACACTCGACAAAGTGAGCAACAATACAATGCTTATGTAGAGTTACGTAAATACAAAATTTATATAAAAACAAAATTTGACGAAGATCTCATCTTACTTTTTGGCAATTATGATCATATTATAATATTCATATTTCAATATGTATTATTTAAAGTTTATTTGTTATTCTAAAATGAATATACAATAAACGATTCATATATCGCTATGATTGCTTATATTAAATTTTTAATTATTAATAATTCTTAAATTATTAAAGCAATAAGTACTATCTGAATATATTTTATTTATATACGTATAATTTTAATTTATCCCAATTACATTTTAATAAAATGAAATCGGTATTTAAATATAAAGATAATTTTACTCGATATTTACTTGAAAAAGTAAGTTTACGTTTCTTAAAATAGGATAAAATAGAATTATCCAGTAATCAAGATTAAGTTGATTTAACCTACATTCAAGCTTAACAATATAGATAACTATATATATTCTATAAAATAAAATTCACGAATATCATTTATATCTTAGATTATTTTATTCGATTATTGATAATAATATTTATTATCAAAAAAAGGTTGTTATTTTTAGTACAATATTTTTATATCGATTATATAATACTTTAAAAATAATTAACAATTACAAATATAGGTACCAGTTAGTTATTATATAAAAATAAAATAATCAGGTTTTAAAAGAAGGTTAAAAATTAATTATTTTTATACACATGATGAGCTGTCTGATTCTTATTACGTATCATTACAATAAGTAATTTTTTACTTAGCAAATATATGTAATTTTAAAGTAAACATGATTACAAATTAATTTTCATTATTTAAAAATGAATATATAACTTATTTTAATGTTAATTTTATCGAATTTTATCGAATTTTATCTATTTTATAACGAATTAAATAATTTAGTAATTTAATTATTTTCTTTAAAAAATGTTTATTTCTAGTATACAGTTTATTTTTTAATATCTATGTGTATAAGTTATTATTTCATTAAAATAAAATTTAATTATTTAAGTAAAACCATTTCAAGAATTTTAAGTCGAATTGAATTGAAAAAATTTTAGTTATTTGAAATAAATAGAGCGAGAGTATCTTTCTGAAATAAATACATGTGAGATACCGGAATTTAAAAACAGATATCATTAAATAGTTCTATTTATTATTAAATTATATTTGCATTTTCTAAATGCTGTATTATGGTATAGTTTGAAGCATTTTTGAAACGTGGAAAAACATTTCCCAAACATTAAATATGCGCTTGATTTAATAGTGTAAGATTTTTCTACATTAACTTAAATGCTGATTCGTAGAATTTTAAGTCAGTCGATCGCGCATTAGTGATAAATTACGTAGTATATGTATTGTTAATGTAATTAAATTAAAAGATGAGAAAAAGCATATACGATCATTTTCGCTGATTAAAATTGACGGAGTAAAAGTAAATAATTGAATATATGCAAAATATTTTAGTGGAAATATTTGGGTGTGAATGAATGTCTGTAAAACCTCATGTCTAACGCGATTCATAAAAATGTTTGGATTAATTTGCAATTTTGATCTATCATTAAATTTTGGAAATTCAATGGTAAAATAATGAATTGTAAAAGAATTGTGCGCGTTAAAGAAATCAAAGGTTTTATATATTTATTTACTGTAACAAGTAAAGGCAAATTTCTTCTGTGCTGTATACGGAGTAATATCATTGATTATCCTAAAAAAGAAGATTAAACAAGTATAATTATGAAAAGATTAAATTCGATTAAAGGATATGTGCTTTAATATTCCATTTTACCCACGAAATTTTTCAGTGGCCATAAAATTATAATGATAGATGGTCAGCTTAAAGAGTTCGTTCGATAAACCATTGTTTCGAACAAAAATTGTTTTCTTATAAATTATGCGCGTACCGTTTTTCAAGATAACATTCAATGAAATAAAAATATTTCTTATTCCATAGAAACGGATGAACATTTCAAAGCAAAAAATAATAAATTATAGATAAATAAGAATATGTCTTGTTAATGTAGGAAAATGTTAATGTATTGAAGACTATCATATGTGGTAATCAATCGATCAAAAGCTATCAAACTTATGAATCAAATTTATCGGAATTTTCTTTTTAACGAGGAAATGCGTTAATTTGTATGTTCCACATGTTTAATGTTGATAATATCTAGAGCATTCAAAAGCTTTCGAGTAAGACTCGAGTCAAACAAAAATATAAAAATATGAAAATTTTAATCGTACTTAAAATTTTTTAGCCAATTGAATATATTATAATATATCAAATATTATATGTCATATTACATATATATTTGAATTTATAATAAAATTATATGATAATTCGCCAGCTATAATTTTAACGATATTATTAATTGAATAAATATTGTATGCAAAAGGTCATGAAACCTCGTAAATATTCAGTAAATATTCTGCAGTATCCGAGTAACAAGATAATTATTGATCCTCGTGATACGTTCATAAAATAAGCTAGGACAATTCAACCTAACATTATTCAATTAAGTGAAGAGCTTAATAATATAATTTCATAAATTTAAAGTTTTTCAACAATTTTTTTTTCGTAATTGTATGACTCGATAATGAAGATATAAACAAGACCATAAATATTCGTTGCTACTATATAACAGTTTTCTATTCAGATTATAGAAGAAACTTCAGAAGGTGTGTTATTTATTATAAAATAACGATTTTCAAGCTTCAATTAAAAGAAATAAATTATTGATAATGATAATGGAAAACATAATTCTTAAGAGATGACTGATGACAATGTAATGTAGAAATTCTATAATAAAAAAAAAGAAAAAAGCTAAAGAAGACAATAGCTTGTTATTTTTTTATTAACAATCACTATCAGCATTACCATTAATGACACGATACATATCTTATGCATAAATAATTTTTATTACAATTTTTGACAAAGACTGTACCATCAATTCTAGGTGTGGATGACACCACGAAGCACCTCGCGGGTTTCTCAGCCTTATTCTTCTACAATCTTGAAAGGTAATTTCGACTGGCGACTTGCCAGACTTTCGCGACAATATCACAGCTCGTGAGAGTTCATTATTTTTCTTTTTTTTTTCCTTTATGCAGAACGTCAGCATTATATATGGCCTCTATTGCTGGATTTTCATTATATTCAAGTATCAAAATGCGATTAAAAGCGCTAATACATTTTCGTTGTTTGATCAAGATGGAAGCTTAAATTTATTATTACATTACTTTTTTTTTTATTCTTTATCATTCTTTATCATTATTCATCATTGTTTTTGAGGCATACAGAGAACAAGTGAAAAATTTGAGAACCGAAGACGAGTAAGTAAGTAATAAGTTCGTAATAGGGTTAGACTCGAGGACAGGAATTGACGAGAACAGGAAAATGCAAAAGTATTGACTTTCGGATGTCATTGCTTTGGTGAATGAAGTCAACTTTATCATCAGGAATAAACTTTTACTGTCTTTGCCGTCAAGTCTAGAGTTTAATGAGTATCAGAATATTAAATAATACTCTAATTTTTAGTCAACAGTTTTTATAATTGTAAAATATTTATAAATGTTTATATTTATTATAAACTACTAATAAATATTACCATTAATAGATAAAATATATAAATATTCGTTTCGATGAATGTGAAACCGACTAGTTTAAAAATACAATCGATCAAAAATTTATCTCCTGCAGTTAAATATCATATTTATAAACATTAAATTATTCTTTCTAAATTATAAAAGAATTACACTTCATTTGGTAATGAAAAGTTATCAGTAGAAAAAATTTTTTTTACTTGAATATGTAATTATTAATTCACTTAATAATTTGTTATAATGATATATTGTTTCTCAGTAATACATTGCAAACTTTATTTTTATCATGAATATATTTGCTTAATTAACAAATTTATTTATTATCGTATGTACAATAGGATAATTGCAGTTAATTATAAAAATTTAAAAAAAAAAAAATGATTATAGCACTACCATTATCTTTATAAAATTGAATCAATTGCTGTCGTGGCAATTAAGTCTTATATTAAATTGCCGACAATTCAAATATATAATGCATAATTATGCTCTTATAATACTGCATCAAGAATTGTAGAAAGAGCATTTGAAAATTGGTTGTAATGATAAACCGTTTTATTAATTTAATTGATATATAAATTTATATATATATATATATATATATATATATATATATATATTTAATTACGATCGACATTATTTTGAATATTCATCGGACTATGATCTTTCAAGAAAATTATTTTAAAGTTTTAAATTATTTTTCAAAAATAAATTACAATTTATATCGTATTGGTGTGTAACAGGTGCCTACGTTGATAGACAATAACGAAGATACGGAGCGAAGAAGAAATAACTAGATAAAATGAGTAATTAACCGAACAGTTAATTGAATCAGTAGAAAAAAAAAGAAGAAGAAAATATTGCAATAATAGGACGTTATTTCTGACATCAGTTAGCGATCTATTAAGAATGATTTCATAAATTAGCAACAATATAATACAAATTATTATTTCGTGAAACATTCATTATAATAATATGCATTTCATCGTAAAACTCCTTGGACGTTTGTTGTGTAATTGTCAGTCTTTTCATTAATGGTTTCAAAAAATGGAGCTCTTTAATACTATGAATTAGTATTGTTCACATTACAGTGCAGAAATTTTTTATAGCGAAATTTTATTATTTAATGGCGAAAATAAATATTAAGTTCAGTTTTAAACGAACAGGATATAATTAGGCTTATTAACTATAAAATCTTGTTACGCATAGAAGGTGAAAGTAATAATTAAAGTTATTGATTTAACACAATTTACACCTGCTTAAATTTAGAAATACCGGCTATTCGAACATTATAAAAAATTGATATAATCTAAACTTTAAGAATTTGAAAAAAAATCAATCGACCACAATTAAGGGTAATAAAATCATGCAACGAAATCAAAACAAACAACAAAACTATATATTAAAATTTGATATTATAACTTACTTTGATATTTCGTATTGGGTATATAATTTCTATATTCTTCGGTAGTGTTGATTTTTAGTAAGCGAATATGGTATGTATATGTAATTGAATGTGGTGCTTTGATGTCATCCCATTTTTGTTCGCAATGAGTCGATGCTTTTGTAGTTATCACAAGTAACAGAAGAAATATATTCCATTCGTTGAAAGCAGAGGACATTTTCTATAAAATAACAAAAACAAAAAAAGAAAAGAAAACATGATCTGTTAACGAAATATGTTTGTTAATAAAACAAATATTTGGTTTTGTAAAAATATATTCATTACAGAGATAAAATTAATTTTATAAACAGAATGCATGTAGGTGTATTAATTGAATTTAAAATTTTTCTCTCTATTAAACACGTTTTATTTCAATTGATGCGAGTACACTCTGTTTTGATTTCATAGCACTGTTAGTTATGGTACTCGGAATCGATGCAGTCTGAACTGCCAAAAATTTGCCGCAATAAACGATGTGCGCCTGTGTGTTTGTGCCTCTTCCCTTGTCACTTCGTATCTCTTTTCGTTTAATCGCGCCCTTCTTTATTCTATTTTTCATAAATATATACGCAATTTTATATCACACACAGTAGGCACTTAAATAACTCATAATTGATTGTTGAAGCCAGTGTTTGATATATTTAGTTCGAACCAGAATTAAGGGATCCGGTACAATAGTAGTGTATGCTTGGGTTGCACCGATACAGCATTAATGAAAGGACCTGCTAACACAGTCTCTAATTATAATATTAATTTATTTAATATTTATTGGCTTGTAATTTCATGTTATACTATGATCGATTTTTATAGTTGGTTTATGGTCGAATACCTAATATGCCAGAGTCCTCTCTAATCAAGAGAGAATTTTTATTAGAGATCCCGTGGTATATGTTGCTACTACGGTGTAATTACTTATAGACGTTTATTAGTATATTTATTGTACGTAATTATAAGGCTCCGATGTAAATAATAGCTGCATTTTTTATTAATGACCATAAAAGAGTTACAATGGAATTGCGAATTTATTTTCCGAGTTATTCTCGGTACTTTTGCGTCTCGGAGAGCAGACATTTGAAATAAAAATACAATACTGAACGATAACAATACATAGAGAATCCTTTATATAAAGATAGAAAATAATAGACTCATGTTATCATTCCTTGAGTAAAATAATGAAATATACGGAAATTCAATCAGGTTGATGACTAATATCTTAAGCAAGCTCTCAATATATCATATTTGTTTTATTACCAATTACCAATATAAAATTATAATATATAATTTGTGTACTTATTATGGGTAATTACTATTTAACTTACATATATTATATCGTTAGATACTGTATAGCTCACAATTTTTTCTTAAAAAAAATATTCTAGAAAATATATTGTTTTTATGATTTTATGAGTGAATACATCATATTACAGTTATTTATTTCTATATTGCGGTATAGAACTATATACAACGAAGAGAATTTGTATAATTTTTTTTTATATATTTTAAAATATTCAGATTTAATCAAAACTTTCTACATACTTTTAAAGTCTAGGAAATAAAAAATTTGAACACAATGTAACATTATTTCTACCATATAATTTTACCTTCGAGTAAAGTGATGTAAAGATAATATAAGCTTTCTGTAATTTAATTATATATTATATATATATATATATATATATATATATATATATATATGTACTATATATTATTATATTATATTGTATTATATATTATATTATATAATATTATATGTATATATATTATATATTATTATATATATATATATATATATATATATATATATATAGTATACTATATAAGATTTCATTATCATTGAAATTTTATTCAGTATTTTGTTATACAACGTCTTAATAATAAATGGCTATAAAGAAATTCTTTAAATTAAAATTTAAAGATAATAATATAATAAAAATAATATTCTTAATTACTAGTGCCAATAACAATTAATTTATATAATTAGAAAAATATAACAAACCGTGTGAATTTATAAAGATCTAGTTGTATTATGAATAAATAACATTGTTATTTTACAAGTACATTAACATTTTAACATTGTTGAAAATATCTCGTAAAAATTCATTTGCAATAAAAATTTTATTTACCATTTAAACTAATATAATCTAAATACATTCACTGAGTTGTGAAAATATATATTTATAAGATTATTATTATTAAATATAAATTATGTATTTAATTGACAAATTATACTTTAAAATACAATGCATTTTAACGTTATAATATGGTAAAATACTTTATTATGAATCTTCATGATCAAAAATTTAAACATCGCGTCTTATGTACTCACAATAAATTCACAAATGAATAAAAAGATAATGTCAATATCAATATTAATCGAATAATTAAAATATTTTAATAATTTTATACACAAGCATTTAAGCGGAATGAAAAATAGACTAACTATCGATTCTTTAATTTTTTAATTTTGGAAAGGTAAAATAAATTTCGACTGATCTGAAATTTCTAGTTGCAAGGATGAATTCTATGTTGTAATAAATATTGAAATATGTCTGTTAATTAATGGTTTGAAGAATTATATCGACTCATCTTTTTCAATGATACATTTGACAATATTATTACTTTCAGTATTTAGTTTACTATTCATTTTCATTTTTCTTTGAATTATTTCTTTATTTGATAAATTATATTAGGAATCTTATAGTTTCTAAATCTTGCGAATACATGAAAAGAAGTAAGTAATTTCTAAATACTAAATATTTTGAATTTTCTTTAATAATATTTCATTCTATTCTATTACATTTACCAATAAATGTAAGCGCTCGTTAAAAATAATATATTACTTATATTGATAATGGTTATTTTGTTTTAATAAGCGATATTTTATATAGTTAGCTGAATTTCTATTACTTCCAATATAAATCAATATGGTGCAATAATAATTGGTATCAATTAGTTAGGAGTCAAATTCGTTGAAACAATGAGAGCCATATATCGCTTACCTTGCTTTTTCGTAAGATGTAAACGTTCGAAAAAACAGCTATTTTTCACATTGGATGATTCTATAAATGAACAAATTCTCTTCTTTTACTGCACCATCACAAATCTAACAGACATGATAATATGCGGGCTCAGACCCTTTTCTGTCTTACTTTATCAAACAGCAGCTTATTTACAAATAATACGCTTTTAAAATATTGTATGAAACAGACACAAATTTACTTCTCTCCCACGCCTTTTTCTATCTGCATTTGATCATTCATAAATGTTTTTATTATAGTTTATGCAATATTAAAGATGCAGAAAATTTCTTATTTATTGATAATATTTAAGAGAATTTCATAATTTTTATCTTCAAAGGTTACTACTTGTATAATTTATTAGTAAACAATTTCTTTTTAATTAATTACCATTCTAATAGTTACTAGATTTAAAAATAATTATTTTTATTAACAGTCACGTTAAGGCAAGTAAATAAAGTAGTAGAAAATGTTACTGGCAAAACGTTTCTTTGACAGATGCCAAAAATCAAAAGGAAACCTCGAAAGTTTAGGTTCTTGAGAAATGTATTGAGGTGTAAATCAAACTAAGAACACTCAACCAATCTTCAAACCAACGATTGCTTTCTTGTCGAGTATAAAGACTAAAAGAAAGATAAAAAAGACAAAAACACGATAGAGGGTGGGAAATTACCGATGATCTGATAAAATGTGTGAAACTTGGTGAAGTGTATTTCGGAATATAAATTTTTTTATAACTTTTTTAATCGATATTCTGGTAGTTTGATTATACCACAATTAAGATTCTTACAACGTAATATATATATATATATATATATATATTGCTATTTAAATAATTCCATAAATCCGTATTTATCATAAAAAATACATTCAATTTTAATAACATGTAAGGATTATTCGGATTTGAAACGTAGTTTAAATTAATTTTATTTTAACGACCAAACGTTTCATACAATTAAGTATACATTACATATAAAACTATAATATTAAGTTAGATTATAATGTAAACCATAGCCAATAAGTAAGTTGCAAGTAATCTATACTGGAAAATACATGGTAAATACCCCATGCTAAATATTTATAATAAATTGACAAAGAATACTAATTTTTAATAAAAACACTGAATATTTTTTTACGTATTATTGATGTATAAAATCATTTATAGTACGTTTAAGTTCTAGTTCTGAATGTGAAGTAATTTAATTATTAATTGATTAAAAATAATATCATAATTTAAAATTATATAAAGTTGGTGCATTTTAAAAGGATTTATATTAAAATTTAATTACTTCATATATTATTTTGTTCAAAGTATTCAATCGTGAAATCGAAATAGACTGACATTTATTATTAGTAAAATGAAGATGGTTCGTTATTTCGAGTAGTTATAAATTATAATTAGACAGTATTATTACTGATATAATTTATTACTGATATAAGTAGATAAGTTTAAAAATAATATAAAACGTTCCCAATACAAGTTCCCAATGTAATCATATTTATTTCAAACTATACCAAATTAATGAAGGTATGAAATTAAATTTATTGTTTTCTGTTTTTTTTTTAATAAATATTCTATAATAATTGGGTATATAATTCTTTTTAATTTGAAGTTTCTGAAAAAATAAACAATTAAAGAATATATTGAGTGTAATTAAAATAAATACAGTCAATAATTTTAAAATAATCTATTTAGTTATCGTTTATGTTGAAATAATTTATTTACAATGTTGAATACATTACAATAAAATTAAAGACATCATTTACGTTATTAATAACAAAGGAAAAAATACTTTTATTTGAGTGAAATTTCAATATTAATATTTGCCTAGTTTGCATAATTTGTTGCATAAAATTTATTATCTACATATTATCCTCAAAAATTAATCTATAATGAAAATCTAATTTCTATTAATCAGATAAATATAAATGAAAAATAATTATATTTTAACAGATTTAGGAAAATAAATATCCCACTACCTAGTAAATAAATCTAGTAATAATGTAAAATAAACTAATATTTTATTTAATTAATTATTTGATTACGTTTAAGTTCTCTGGATATAAAAACGATCATTTATTTTTAATATTTGATTTTCACGATTTAATTTATGTATATGACTGATTTATGTATAGTGTACTATAAATAAATTCATGGTTTATAAAACTTTTACAAACACAAACTAGCCAATGCTATTGGTTGATATAAGAATATGACAATTAACAACATTTTATAATGGACTTTATAATGGACAAACATTTTATATTGGAGAGAAAAATGATAATTGGAGGGGTAAAAATAATTTTTCGCAGATAAATTATTTGGAAAATATTACCGTCCCGAAATAAGATTCATTAAACTATTTCCAATATTTTTGTTTTTATTTATTAAAATAATAATGGAATAGGATGAAATACACATTATTTAAAATGAAATGTAGATAGTTATAAATTAAAAAGGTAACTCGTTCAGCTTGGAAACGTGTCATTTAATAAACATCTACTGGAACTAAATTAATGGGATATTAATTTCCCTTCGCTCTAAAATTCCAAGATAATTTCCTTCGTTCAAAGAACTTTTGCTCATTATAATCAATGCAAAAGTGAAAAAACAATGATGGGAAGATACGATCTTATGAAACATCAAACTATTCCAGATTAATAGAAGTAATTTTAATTTTCCTAGAAAATGACAATTAAATGAAAAAGGAAAGCTTCATCAATGGATCGATAGCTATAATTTTTAAGCTGATGAAGAGGAAATGATAAGGAAGATTTACGGAACATCTTGAGTAGAAAAGAATTTTTATTGCCTTCGTTCATTACTTTCTTCTTACATTATACGTTTTTTCTTTCTTGAATTTTATGCATAGCTTTTGAATTCCTTAAGATGTAATAATTTTTTAAGATATTTCTATTTTTTTTAGGAATAAAACTTTTAAAGTTCAATAAGTTCATGATTTTAGTTTCATCGCTTAAAAACTTTGTAATACGTATTCTTTTACATCAATGGTATGGATAAGTATAGTTATTTAGAATATATTATCACCAATTTAATGAAGTCGTCTAAGTTTCAAAGTAGTAGAGTTTTATTTAAAGTGTAATAATAATCTTGTATGCCTGGAATCTGTCTGAAGTCTTAATCGATAGAATTAAATATTTAGCTGTACATTCAAGCTAAAATTATCGTTAGAATCGTTAAAAATATAAAGGAGATATAGTACAGGAGATATAGACGGAGAAGTAGTGCGTTCAATTTGCGTTATAGTAGGAAAATATTTTAATATAATAAATAAATCCAGTCATATCTCTAAAGCAATATACGGTTGTTGATTGTTAATTAGAATTAATTATCATGTTTTAAGAGAGAAGAATCTGATTGAATTACTTTCAATTACTTTCTATATAATCTAATACATGTAAAAAGTTGATAAAAAGCTTTTGAGCGCATTTTTAAATATGGTTATTAAATCTCAGGCTGAATAAATTAAATAATAAAAACATAGTATTATAATGTTCTTAAATATTTTCATTTATTTGTATCATTTATTATGAGTATTTGTTATTAAAATTTCTCTAAAACGATGTTTGTTATGCATCCAAAGTTTATATAAAGAAATAATACGAGATAACATTTTATATAAAAAAGTGTATATATATATTAAATATATAATTACAAAAAGAATTTCATTACTTTTTTTCAGTTCTTATCGAAATGAGTATAATGCTCTCAATGCAGAGATTTTATTTAAATTTAATTGCTACTATTGTAAATTCATTTTAATATCAAACCTTATAACTGAAATTCTCTATATAGTAGATTAATTAAATGCATAAAGTAATTGAAAATTTGTAAAAGAGGCTCTTTTTGTAAATTCTAATTAGATTCACTGGAACTCACTTTATTTACCGACAATTGAATGAGTGTATTCAAGTAATTACTTAGTGTATATTTAAAATTTAATCGACAATCTTGACAAACCGATGTATATTATAGCTACACTAAATTTTTTATCAAAAATATCTGAGAAAAAAGGTCGCAGCTTCGATGATTTAAGCAGCCTCAAATAAGTTGGAAAAACGGAAGGAAAAGCAAAGTGGGAACTGAAAAAGGCGGATTGGAATAAGTCATAATTGAAGACTTCATCGAAACAGCTACTCCGCTCATTTTTTTATAAGCCTCAAATAAGTTGGAAAAACAGAAGGAAAAGCAAAGTGGGAACTGCAAAAGGCGGATTGGAATAAGTCAAAATTGAAGACTTCATCGAAACAGCTACTCCGCTCATTTTTTTATTCAAGTAATTTTAATTCTATTTGCATCAACTTTTTCCGATGTCGGGACACGACATTACATTTGTCAACCAGCCGATCTTGTTCACGCTTCCTTTTTGCTGATATAAACATTTATCGGAAAAATCTACATCATGCAGATTTCGAATTACGCTTTGAGCGGTGTTTTTGATTTTCCACATTCACGACTGGATTAAAATTTTCAACGTATCACCGAAGAAGAGTAGTTGATCCTTGGGACGCAGCAAATTTTATTAGTGCATATAACGATCATCGCTACTTTTTCAAGGCGCAAGTATTAATTTAGCTTCGCATGCAAAAAATAATATTGAAAACGAATTTTAATATATATATATAATATAAATAAACTATTGATAAAAAAGTATTAAATTCTTAAAAGATGTTGTGTTCTTTTCCACAAAGAGTTTAGATGGCATAAGGACATGAATGTCAATAGTAGCGAAACGGAAATCAGAAATAAAGTTTTTTTCAGTCCAGCACAATTGTAACAATCTTGAACCAAAAGAGAAAGTAAAAGCAAATACAATGACGACTCGTAGTGAATAAAGAATCAGATGATTTAGTAACCAATGATAGAGTCTGGAGGATTGTCATGGGTCCGACGATTGCTCCGTGCGATCTCGTTTCCTCCGGCTATATAACTTAAGCTTTTGAAGTTTATTTCTAATCCGACCGAGCTCAGCACGGATACCAGTGCAAATTACTAAAAGACGTCAATTCTCTCTCTTTCTCTCTTCTCTTTTTTACAAGAATAAAAGAAGATTTGATCGTGGGATCTTACATACACGTAACTTTCCTTATATTCTTCTATACAATCATAAACTTGCACTTACCAAGTTTGTCGAGGTCGTTTAGAGTGTCCTAAAATATTACTCGTCCTGTCTCTTTCACAAGCTTCTCGTAATATCGAATGTGCAGCTAATACTTACGTCCAATACTTCGGAGGCTTGTGAACAATTAAATGCGATCCGTTGTCAAACACTTTTACTATTCGTTTTTATTATCTTCCACTTTTTCAAAGTAGTACTGCAGCGTTCGTTTTTATCGTTTTAAATATATCGAATAGAGATATCTTAAATTACGTTTCAAGTTGGATTTATTCGTGTAATCTTTATAGATTTAAAGTACGGTTGAAATTCATTTTATTTTCATATAATATATATATATATAATTAGTCGTATGTAGTACGTAAAAAAAATATCTTTTTCATCCACTTTTTTCAAGCGTGAAAATATATTTTTATTATTTTTTTTTTAATGAACCTATTCATTTAGAGAAGTTTTAAAAGCGAATTCCCTTATATAAATCATTTACATTATTCTTTTTAATTTAATATGCGTTTAATTAGATATTGTCAATTTATCCTCAAAGTGACGTATTCTGCTCATCTAATTTTACAACTGTGAAGTTCATAGTTAGATTAAGATGTAATTAATGCATTAGATAATGGACTCATTTGTTTGTTGCGTTCAAAATTTTATGCAAAAATATCCAGTTACTTTGTTGTTATAAATTCAATGTCTTGTTTTTAAACAGCATCAATGCTTCAAACTCGTTGAAAAATGAATATTTTTATACAGGAGTGTGAGCAATATTCAAATAAAGTTACGCCTTGAAATTCAACTTGGTATATACATACAAATATATGCGCACATGCACACACACACGCACGCACGCACGCACGCACGCACGCACGCACGCACGCACGCACAATAATACATATATGTGCGTGCGCGCGTGCGTGCGTGCTTGTATGTGTGTCTGTGTGTGCGCGCGCGTATATTTACATGTGTATATATTTTTATTAAAGATGGCGAAAGTTTTGCTGATACCGCAGGAAAAAATAATTAGAATGAATTTATAGCCAATATTATTCGATGCCCCTTCTCATATAGATAATATATAGATAAAGTACACGTATCAGAGTTTCGGGTAAATATGTAATTTGTAAGCGCGTCGTGGGTGAGGCGAACGAGGTACTAATAATCCGCGATGTTACCTCAGCAATTAGTTGGGCAATTTTTGGTAAACACGCTCTCCCGAGTGTGAAATACGATAGCAAAAAGGGATGAAAGTGGCGTGCATCGATGCAGCCGGTTCCCGAGCAACTGAATACACCGTCGAGCACTAGCCGTCGTTTCCCTCTGAGGCCGGCGTCGACCGCCGGAAACGGCCTTGTAGCCGCGCGCGCGGGAAATTCGCGCACGCGCCCCACAAGGAAAATTGCTCCAACTCACCCCGGCTGATCTCTTTCCTTCTCCTACCCCTATGAATATTGTGGATCGTGGCTGCGATTTTAGCTACTATTGCCGCTGTTCCTTCTGTAGTTGCTAACGTTACAATAACTGATGAGGCATCCCTCGTCGTTACGCCTCCGCTCGTTTCTCTTGCTGCTACACGGGTAAATGGACAAATTAGTATATATTTTTTTACGTCAAATTATTGTAAGATGAGTTTTCTAAAAATACAGGCATCTCGCTGTCGTTCGCTTGATTTGCGCTTAGTTAATGACAATCATCGTATGCTAACGCAAATAAGTTTCCCCTTGCAATAACGCAAATTAACACTGTTACTGTAGTAACGAGCGCTGAGTATTTATAGCTTTCTTTCATTAACGAGCGGGAGCTGTGGGTTTTATTTTCTAAAAGAGAATAATAACAATAGTGGACAATTATAAGTGATAATCGAAATTCTGTCGATTAACTTTATTTGTAGATATTTTACATTTAAAACGAACGAACGTTGACGGTATAGAGAACATCAAATAACTTCGAGATATTAATAGGTCCATTAAATTCTGAGTGATGTTAAATGAGAGGAAATAAAATTTATATTTGCGTAGTTTATATATATATTTGTATATTAACAATAGAGAAATAACGCTAATTAATGAATTCGGCCTCGCGCTTGAGGCTTAATTGTTCTATTTACGAAGCAATTATGAGGTTGAGCTACTGTTTTCTTCTACAATAGTATACATTCCAATAATAATTATTTATGCATCACGTTTCATTTGCTAACAATTATACGATTGTTTTCAATTTAACTTGATGTTTGATATCTCTATTACTTGACTATTTGGAAAACTTTTACATTTCCACGCTTATTTTAAAGATTAAAAAATCTTATTATTTAATTCGCAATGTTTTTTTAGCAATTTCGTTAATATCGTTTATACGTAATTTATTCCTGATAATTATTATATTAAAAAGATGTATTATTATTCGATGCGCGGTTATACTATAAATATTTCATACCAACAAATTTGATACCTATAAAGATTTTAAATTAAAAACAATTATGATAAGTTCAAGCATTCATACGATAAATTACCATAGGAAATATGAAAATTGTACCTAATGTCAGATAGAGTTTTGATAACATTTAATGCACAACGTATCATGAGTATAATAATTATAATTTGATTTCTTTTATTCCTTATATGTAAATTATTAGATTGAATTATCATTATAAACATATGAATGATCACTTTTTTCCATCGAAGAAAATTTTTTTAACTGCATTATAGTCTTGTAACTATATTTTTATATTTTATTTAAATATGAAATTGCCGAGTTCCTGAATTTCAGAAAAATACAAAATATTAATTCAGTTTTACAAAAAGATGAAGAAATTAATTGACGATTGATATTTGATATAGTATGAATGAATTCCCAAATACATTGCAAATAGAGAGTCGTTTAATATAAAAAGTAAAAAAAAAAAAAATTAAAAAAAAACATTGGAAGGTAGTAGAAGCATCGAATTTGGTAACGAATATTCTTTTGCGTGGAAATTAACTTTAAAGTACTTGTGAAGTGATAAATTATATCTATATAGTTTTCGCCCTAAATTGAGATTCAGCAGGCTTTTATTTTTCAATTGAGCATGTATCCAACAAATTCGTTAGTTTGATTGAAAACTTGTTCTATTCATTTCCACTATTTGCCCGAGTAGGAGACTATTGAATGTGAATTTTCCGATAAAACCTTGCGTAATACGGATTGTACAAAAGCTCGAGGAAGAAGAAAACCGAGGTAATAAATAAGTTGTAACTCGCGCAGGCACTACTTTTTATATTACCAAAAGTTTTAAGATCGTTTACGGATTTTGTGCTTTACATACCCTTCATTTTCAATGGCAAGGCGATCCGCGAATATTGCGCTGAAGATTAGAGCGGATTTGCTCAGAAAAGAGGACACGTCAGGTGAAAGAAGCATGGAAGACAAGTGTACACAGATAAGAATAATGCGTGAATAGCTTAATCTCAAAGACGAATCGATTTCAGTTGAAGAAAAAAGCTCAATACGACATTAATGATTGCTGAGCTCTCATTATGAGTTTATTTAGTTCATTCGAATCCTCAATGTAAACAATCCAGTTCCAGAAAATATTGTTTATTGAGTTAATATTGCTCTATTATTTACTTTATAAACATTTTTGTTAAATAAATCGTTACTTTGATAAATATTCAGATTATCTTAACGCGATTACAGCTTAATTTTTTATAATATACTTGGCAAAATATCTATAATAAGTATACAAATTTATGGAAAAGCTAGTAATAAACTATTTCAAATTGATTCTCAATCGTTAAACCAAATACGACGAGTGAAAAGTCGATGCTCATTGATGGCCGGAAATAGTGTTCGAATAAATCGTGTATTATCAGCGTAATGACCATTTCATCATTTACACAATCAAAAATCAATCTATATTCATATTTATCGATAAATAGTTTTTGCGTACATATAAATACGAGATTCATTATTTATGTTATCAAGTAAGAATACATGTGGGCCGAAGATGGAAAATTGGAAAACATTATAATAAGTTATTCATCTATGATTGTAATATCCATTTATAGTAAAAATGCACACCTTGATTTATGTTTATACATTTAGCAATAATTAAACAATTTAATCAATGATTTATTATTATATATTCTCTAAATATACGAATTTTTGTGAATTATTGTTAATATGTGAAAGTATATTTCAATGTAATAAAGTTAAGTCGTCTTTGTAACATTAAAATTAAAAATTAAAAAATAAACAATTATTTTTTCATAAAGAGAAAACCTTATTGTTTAAAAAACGTATTAGTATAAATATTCAAATGGATTTTTTTTTAAACTAAAATTTGATGTAAATATAAGTTTTAGTTGGCACGAAATTTATTAAAATTTTAATTGTAAATATTGGCGTTAATATAAAATATTCAATATGTAAATGATCAATCCTGATTTAAATAAATTTTTCTTCTATTATAAATGATTATTAAAAAAAAAAGTTGATTAATGCAGCATTAATCAACAATTTTATTAAGGAATTTCTAAGCTAAGAAAAATTTTAAATCAATAAAAAATTATTTAACTGTCGTAAATAGTATCGACGAATATTCGCAATATATATATATATATATATATATATATATAAAAGTATAAATTTTTAATAATGTAATAATTAATTAGCTCATCATAAAATTAAATTTATTATTTTAACGATATAAAATGTAACAAAAAATTTCTTAGCTAATGGTATATCGCTGTTGTGCTTGACATATTGTTGATTTACTGCAGGATTCTCTGTGCATTTTTGTAAGAGGGCACATTCTTCCCCCATTTTCAGGATGAATCTAAAAAATATTAGAACATTAATTTATATAGATTTTACATGTAACACCAATATGATTATGAATATTACCAAAATAGTTTTTTCTCTACTTCGAAAGCCGTTGCAGCTTTTGCAAATAGACCACGCACTCCACATTGACATTTCGCAGTCTATTTTTCGCCCTAAAATAAGTTAAGTTTTATGTATATATAAAATCTATCGATATGAATAAAATTGCTGTTACCAATGTTTACCATGTATTATGCAGGCCTGCTTACAAGCTTTCTCATCGTTAAATCTATTATTGTTTCCACCACAGCCAGTATATCGAAATGGCATGCACGTACCTCTAGATTGATCATAATAATATTTGTGCGAGTTATCGTTATTTCCATTCAAGCAATACCCTTCGTCAACGCGTAATAAACAATAATCTGGAGAAAATGTAATTGTTTAAGAATTTAGTTGACATAAAGCAGATTAAAGAAATTTTATTATTATTATTTTAATTATTTACTTTTAGTATATACAAGCATATATAAGAGTAAATAAAGCATGCGTTTACAATATAATTTCTAGAAATTGAAATTCTGCCACATGCAAGCGTTATTCTAGAAGTCTATTTAATTTTTAAATTCGATATGAATAATTAAACAGGGAGAAAACAATTACGATCTTGTAAAAGCAAAAAATGCAAAAGGAAACTAATATCTTATTTTCGACATTATTATTATTATTATTTTTTTTTATAAATATACTTTCATAAATATCAAATATTTTTAAATAAGTTATTTTATTAATGAAAAAAATACTAACAATTTGATAGATCAAAAAAAAAAAAAGTACAATACTTTTTAAGTAAAATATTTGCGTATTACCTGGCTTTTCCATGACTTTTACAGAATGAGCATTTTTTTCTACTTCTTCATTCAATTCGGAGAATTCTCGAATGCTTTTTGAGTTCATAGAATTATTGATTGAAGGAATATCTGAGATTTCACATAAAGTTGTATCATAAAGGCAGGAATTATAACCATAATCTATACTATCGTCAAGATCAACTATCTTAAGGTGTTCCTAAAATATGTAATATAATTCATTTTATATATTGGAAAAAAATTATATTACTACTTCGAATTTAATTTTTAAATTATATTTTGAATTTTCATATTACATGAATACATTACTTTGTAATGTTAAAATTAATAATTTTATATAACTTGATATATATGATTTATGATTATCAGGGTAGAGTTTTTATATTAATAAAACGAATTATTGCATGTTTCATTTCATATATGTGTGAGTGTGATTAAAATTTCATTTTATCTCTTTATAATATGAATAATTTTTAGAATATAATTATCATTTCAATATCTAATATATATCAACATATTCTTTTAATTATTACCTTCAATTTTATTGCTATAATTTAGAATCGTACTTAAATATAAAATATTTTCAAATATACTCGTATAAACAACTTATAAATATTAATTTTTTTTCTCGGAAGAAATAAACAGTTTTTGAAAATTTCTATTCATCTACACGAAAATATAATAATAATATTTTGAATGGTAATTTACGGACTTCTTAGATAGATTATAAGTATCGTTACAATTGTGCAAATTACCTTAATTGTTCTATAGCGAAATTTGATTCCATTTCCTTTTATATGTGTACAGGGAGACCATTCCATCCAATTACTGTATCGTCCATCTACGCACTCCTAAAACAAACAATAAAATTTCCATACGAACGCATAAACGCATATAAATCCGATAATATAAGGATTTACAACACATATAAACATTTATTATCAATTTTAGATAATCAGTGGTTTACGTTAACACCAATTAAAAAAAGAAAGACACAAATGCAAATTTAAATTTAAACTTATTATATCATTAGGATTAGCATAACGCAACGATGCTTAATGTGATTGTTAAAAGTATGCTTCCTTACTTACAAATTTATCATTGGGACAAGGTGGATTACCGCAATCTCTTTTTTCTTCTAAAATCATATTACCATACGTTTCGGTACATGCTTTTTGATAATCATACCATTTGAAAGAACGCACGCGCTTTCTTGACTCTTGGCCACAGATCTGTACACATTTTGTCCATTCGCCCCAATCGGTTAAAGAGCAATCTTCTTTCGAGACATTTTCAATACTATGAAGATTTATTTATTTATTTATTTATTTTTTATAGTTACTCTACGAATTACTTAAATAATTAATAAATAAATTATCCGTTACCATTTGTGATTTGCTTTTTGACAAGTTTTTGACTCTTCCAGTGGTAATGAGCAATTATTCTCATTGTAATATTCAATTATAGATCTAGATCGCTTTGAGATACCAATACCGCATTCGGCAGAACATTCGCTCCACTTACTCCACGAAGAAACACAGTCCTCTATAATATAATATTAACAATCGTCAGATATTAAATTTTCATCCAAAAAGAAGAGACGTCCTTTAAAAATTTACTATTATTGACGTTTACAATATTGGCTGAACAATTGTACTAAATGTATTGGTATGCAAGTACAATACTTACCTAATATTTCGACGTTATGGCAATCTTTTTCCGAGCCCTTTAATCGTGTGAAGTAAATTCTTGCAAGAGGTCTTACATTATGCGTATTATTGGTTTCATCGTAAAATGGCGACTCTATATTATTTTGAGGTACTGGCCAAGTTGTATTCAAATTTTGAATTACATCCTGGGGTTCCGTATTATCTTCAATATCCTTGATTTTACATATGATTTAATATCTTTGTTACAATTACATTACATAAAGATAAATGTTTTGTTTAAAGCAAAAATGTTAATCTAATGGTACAACTATATTCATAATATAAGGTGAATCAATTGTTAATTGATATTTAATTAAATATATGTAGTTTATTATACGTAAGGAAAATTATTTTAGTGTAAAAATTTCGTAATGAAAAAGCAATTTTATGATCTTCTTCATAAAATTTATTTTGAATATTCACTTTTGAATTTCACTTAAAGTTTTGTATGAAAGTACCGTTCCATACCTTTTTTAATTTTATCAATCACATTATTATTCCTATAAAAGTCTGCGATAAAATTAAAAATTAATTAATAAAAGTTTGTTAGAACATTTTATGTTTTATATTAATATTGAAAGAGAGACTTGTACATGTAAGTATCATAATATATTAGTTTATAAATTATAGTTTTCTATACAAATATTTAAATGTTATAATGCTACATTGTAAAATTAGGGAATAAAAAAGCATTTACTTACTTCATATAACATACCATTTTTACTTCCAGCATCGTATGCGTACAAATTCAAGATTTTATTTTTAATCCATGTGCAGTCAGGTTGGCACAACTCTAACGATGATACGCCGACGAACCAATCAGGCGATGGTTCTATATTTGACAGTTACATTCATTATTATTAAACATCGAAGCGAAACATTTAATTTATGAGATATTTGTTTAATCTATACCTATTTTAGCAATTAATGATACGACGTGTTTCTTTGTATCCACCCTGACACTTGAAAAAGATTTGTTAGTCTTATTTTGAAAGTTTGCACCGCGAAATTTGATTAAAGTGCTTATTCTTCGTTTCTATAAAATCATATAAATTTATGACCATCAGACATTTATATTCATAATTAAAATTCACTTTGAAATAATGACATTCAACAAGAAAATTAGGATCATATTTAAGTAATTTAAAAAAATTCTCTTAATAAACTCACGTTCAATTTAAGCTCTAATTCTAAGTCCACTGTGTCTCCAGTTTCTGCATATTTAATTAAACCTTTGCTAGCTTTCGTATAAGGACGCCAAAATTCATAATTAGTCATATGAGAAGCTCCAATGACCGTTGGAAAAACTGCTAACCATTCCTTCTGAGGAAAGTACTGTAAAGTAAATAATAGTAAGTCAATTTTATATTTTTTTATCGTTATAAAATCTAATTAAACTAATTTACTTTCGTGTGTGTGTACCTCGACCAAAGTCCTTCAAATGTCAATTCATACTTACCCTCGTCGCAAGCGCAACAATTTTTTAAAATTTCACCTGCATTATCCAAAACTACTCGTGGATCCTCGCAAATTGTTCTATTTACTATATGATATCTTAAATCTGTTTCTTTAATGACTGCTCTAAACATTATTGATATTTATTATTATTCGTAATTGCATGGTCTTTATATTATTACGATATTTTATAATATTGAATATAATATTTTTTTAAACGAATTTTGTATTTGTTCGCGAATGTTTAGATTCTTAATACATACGTTACATGTCTCGTAAGTCTTCTTAACAGTAATTTATATTATGTATTTAAACTATTTTTATGTTACAATGTTTCATATTTTAACAAACTATATAGTTTATACACAAATTCGAAATAAATATATTTACACTCCTTTGAACATATGAAAATTATCATTGTATTTTTATTTGGTAATGAAAGTTTCAAGAAGTGATGCGTTAAACAATCAAAAGTTTAATCAAACTTGTTTTAAGAATATTTATAAAAAGCAAAACAGTATAAATATTAGATTAAATTAGATTGGAGTATTGTAATTAATTTTTAATTTACATAAATTTTATTCATGAGTATCACCATAAAAATTATTCAATAATACATTAAAGTTACATTTTATTTTTAATAACAAAATTTTATAAACTCCTATGTTGATTGTATTGAGCATAAGAAAATTTTAATACAAAATTATCATTATTAATGAATCTTTCATATTCATATTTAATATAAAAATTTTGATAATTATTTACCTGATTTCAATACAACCACTGTTTACAGATGGACTTTCCCAACCAATTATTATACTTAATTTAGCAAGTGACACTGGTCCATCGATAATTCTATTAATGCAATGCGGATTGTTGTGAAACATTGACAATTCTTTTTCGCGTAAATTCAATGTTCCATAATTCATGGATTTGTTTTTATTTCGGATTTTAAAGTAAAATTGTGTGAAAGTATGATTTTTTAATTTTGTTTTTATTGTAACTGTAAAGATAAAGTTTTATTTTAATATATTTATAGTAAATTTATGTTTCATATTTAATGGCAGTGGAATAAATAGTTGAATCATGTCAAGCAATAAAATATAATTAGTTGTAATATGATGTATGGTAAGAATAGTGGTATAATTAGTAAAATTGAAATTTTTTCTTGAAATTTAATATCAGTGAGTTTAAGAATATTTTTACTAATTACAATGATTTTAAAATAACATTAATAGTATTTATTATTTCTTAATAAATTTGTTATAAAACTTACTATCGTAGAACGTATTTGGAAAGTAAGTACGTAAATCCCCGGTAGTATTAACTATTGATAGTTGAAGAATATATGGTGATTCTAACACTTTATGTCCTGTTTCCATCCAAGATATTTTACAGTTATCAGAAGAAACTCCCATGACGAAAAATAGGAAAATTATGAATCTTATTGTAGTAATATAATACATCTTTAAGTATGAAAAAAATCTGATTTTAAAAGAAAAAGATTTCTGAAAAATATTTATTATATCATATTCTAATTATTATTATTTCTGTTTAGTTATTTTGTTAAGAATAAATGTTAGTTTCAAATTTAAAGTAGGAATATGTGATCAAATAAATGTACAAGAAATAGTCTTAACTATTTACACACACACGCACACACGCATGCATACACGCACGCACGCACACGCGCACATATCTATACAGTTAGCCTTTTTTTACGTATCGATTGTATACGCAATATTAATTGCCAAGGTTTTTAGTAAATATTAGAATTGATTTAACGTCTTAGAAGTTTTCATTATAAATTAAAGAATGTTTTATTTAAGTAATTTCTTTAAAGGTAAGCTATTTAAATATATATATATATATATATATGAATTTTCAAAGGCTAATAAGAAAAGTATAACAATAGATATAAGATGAAATAGTCCAATACTTTTATTCGTAAAGAAGTTCAAAGAAAATTTCGTTGGAGAAAAACCGAATCTTAATTGCAAAGATACACATCACGATTGCATAGTGACTAATTTTAGTTCTCGACTTAAATTTTTAAAAACGTCCAACCATGTGGTCGGCTTCCGGTCGACTGAGGCAACCCTACTTCTTTACCAAACGAAAAGCTAAAGCGTTGAGTGCTCCAAGCGCTTATTATATCTGTGGAAATGTAAATCCAACGCGTTTATTTAAAGTTTCGAAGTTTTTGTTTGGTTTTTATAACTTCTTCATGCCAAAATAAATGATTTTTTTGTGGTCTTAGAATACATGTATTATGTACATATAATCGTGGCCGAAGAGTTGATTTAATATTAGCTCATTAATTTCATAAATATTTATAGAGTGTATTTGCGTATTTATATATATATATATATATATATATATATATATAATACAAGTAAAAGAAAGTTATAATTATTTCATATATCCAACACGAATGATAAATAATAACATAATTCGATTGTAAATGATTGGTGAATTCGATTCTTTATTCTTTATAGTCAAGTAGTGAAATTATTTAGTCATAATCGATACGGCACACAAAACAGATCAGCTAAACCATCATTATGGAAGAGGTCGAACTGTGAGCGACATTAATTGATGTTCTCTCACGCATTGTAACTCGTTAAAATTGTATAGCATAATTCTATTCATAGCGTTGAATTTAAACACACGCTATAGAGTATCTTTAAAAAAGGTTATATGTTAGCGTAGAACATAACACTTCAATTGCATAAATATTAATCGTCGAATAAAGTTAATGCACATATGTATATTTATACTTGTGTAATGTAATTTTATCAGTAAATTTAACTTTTCTAACAAATATGATACGTTCATCATATTGCCATTTATCGTATTTACTTATGCTTATATGTATACAGGGATTGTTTTGCATTTTATTAAAATTATGTTAACACGAGTAAGGCCTATCAAGCAATTATAAAATAATTAATCATGAAATTATATACTTTTCAATTAAATATTGCATTATATCGAGTGTCAAACTCTGAAATTTTATTATTTTTATATGTCGTACTGTTGTCACGATATACTCGAAATACGGGAAAATAAAATTAATAATATTAATGTAAAAATTTAATACGGTTTGTTATTTAGCATTTATTAGTTAACTACTGTGTCAATTATTTAATACAGAAATGTATATATGTTGATGTGACATGAAGTCTTTCTCGTAGCGTTCTTTCAAATGTTTTGCCTGTTAGGAAAATCGTGAGGCTGCCGGTTGAAGAGGTAGCCTGCATGAGACGGGCGATAACACTTGAAATTTAAAAAAATAATGTTATTGACAGGGATTTAATTTTATACGCTGCGAAATGTCGATTCCGTCTACGAGGCTAGCCAACTCAGATGCTGCGAGTAAGTCTAATAAGCTTCTTTGTACACAGTTTTGTTTATTACATTAATTTTGATATTACTACATTAATATTCTATTATATTATTCTATTTTATCATATTTTTTTCGTATTATATTCTATTCTATTATATTATAAAAAAAAACAAACAAAAAAAAAATTTAAATGATTGATAAAACAGAAGATGGTCTGAAAGTTTCTGACAAACCTAACAAAGTTATAAGAAAATCTTTATCGGGTGCAGCTGTGAAAAGTAAAATACCAAAACAAGGAAAATCAATAATTCCAGTGGCGTGTAAAGTAAATATCCATACAACTATCTTATATCCTTATAATATTTAATAAATATCTATAAATTAGTTAAATTTTTTAAGCTTCTTATTTCGAATAAAATTTTTTTTAAAGCCTCATTCAAGATCTTTGTAAAAATATTCGATGCTAATGCAATTTTCTATGTGTAATCCAATAATTAGGAAACTAATAATGAGGTTAGTGTTACTTCGGAAAATGCGGAAGAGAAGCTGTCAGCACCACCATCGCGGCCAGTATCTAAAAGTCAGGAAAAACCGCCAACCGTCATCATACGACCGAGAGCCAACATATCCGCAGGATCGGAAAATAATGAAAAACGAGTTTTAGAAAATAAATTTAACCAAAAAAAAAATCGTTACGTCACTCTTGCAAGAGACATTGAAGATAAACAGGTTATTTATAAATACTTCACTAACGGGTACATTTTAAGAAATGCAATTAAATACAGTTAATTGTACATTGATAATAGCTTGATGTGGGCGTACATTTTATACGGTTGGCCGATTTAGTCTAACATGATATAAATCTCAACAGAAACTTTCGATAACGTCGTTCAAGGAATTGTATCGATTGCGCGAAAAGATCTTGTCATTAGGTGGAAAGGATCCGGGTCATTTGGATGATCTGAATCCGCTGGGTACGTGGTTTGTTAATATCAAGAATGGTAATCGTGTTCTAGAGAATGTCGGATCGACTGATGATAAATTGGTCACACAATTTGAGACGAATTTGAGTGCCATTGCGGAATCTTCACTGGCGTTATGTAACGAGGTACTCAATAAACGTAAGGATATCGTCATTTGGCTCACAAATTTCGAGCGTGAATTCTGGGATGATCCGTCACCACTTACGTCAGTAGTACGATAAATTTTTCAATTATCTTACTTTTTTCTAATACATGACTTTTTAAAATGCAAACGACATTTATTGTGTTTTCATATTAACAGTCAATACATTGAAGAAAGTAGGATCATTGTATTCATTTTGTAAAGCAAATCACGTATGATTTATTTATGCTATGTATTGCAGATGTAAAGAAGAAATGATTCATCAATGCAAAAGTTATGAGGATGAGAACGTAGAATTTGAAAAGAAATTGGATTCAATCCGACAAGAGCAGTTGTTACAAATAAAAGAATTGGTTTTGCGCATGGGTTTTCTATGGCAAGAGTGTCAAATTTACCGACAAGACAATGATAATGGCGACAATTCTTCCCGTAAGACATAATTTTATATTAAATAATTGCATTCTGCTTATTTCTTCAATTATATTTACTATGTAGAAACTTAATGAAAACATACTTTAGGATTTAGAGAAGTTTTAAATAGCATTCTTACAAAAGCACATGCTAAATAAATTGAGAAAAATTAACATAATTAATAATTAAATATGTTATTAAATAGGAATTCTATGTATAATATTCAGTCTCGTATAAATAATGAGGTTTGACTTTTTAAAACAATTTTTTAAACAATTTTTCCATTTTTCTTGCACTTAAAAGATCGAATAAATTTTTTTAAAACATAAATTTAATAGTAATAAGAATATTAGTTAGTAGAAGTATTTTGTACCATCATTTTGCAAAAAGTATATTAGCTAATATATTCGCGCAATAGCTCAAAACATGAATTACGAAGAGCATTTAAAAGAACTTCGTCTTGAGAAGGATAAATCGTTGAAAATACGAGTAAAATTACGAGAGCAGGAGAATGCAATAGCAAATTCTGAAAAGAAGCTGCGTCAAGCCCAGGAGAATATTCAACGACTTGAGATCCAACTGAAGCAGAAAGATGCGAATGTCGAGTGCAAGGCCAAGGAACTTGCCAAGTTTCAAAAAACTCATGAAACTGTCATTGGTAAATCAGAAAAACAGAAGGAAACCCTTGAGAGCAGGTAATTCGCTTACTTCTTTTTACACTACTTATCATAAGAGTCTATATAAATATTGCCAAAAATGCTAAATATTCGTTTATGATGGCGCGACCATAATTTATCGTTATATAATTTATTTCAATTTACGTTGTCTGCTTAAAGTTGATATAATACTCGGGTTTCCGCAAATTAAATGCAAATCTAGACATACCTAACCAATATTAAATGCGTGCATATACCTATTTTGGGTGCGGGTGTGTGTGTGTGTGTGTGCGTGTGTGTGTGTGCACGCGTGTGTGTATATATATGTTGGCGTGCGTAAGAAATATAAAGATATTTACTCTTACCTATTTATTATAATATATTAAAATAAATATCATGATAATAAAATAAAAATCTATACTCTAATTATCAATATATTCGACAACGTTCTGTCATTGATATTTTCATATTATATTTAAGATTAATTAAGCTGAAAGAAGAAGTTGAATGTAAGGAAAATGAAGTGAAAAATATAGAGAATGATTATAAACAAAAAATAGAAAACATGGAATTCAATTTGAATGAGGAATATAAGCAAAGGTAAATTTAATAAAATTAATAAAATAAAGAAGAAGTGTAAAACTTTTAATTATATTTACAATTTTATTTAAAGACAAGAGTTAGAATGTCAATTTAATGATTTTAAAATACGATATGCAAAATTAGAGGAAAAGTGTAAAGAATTACTTGAGATACCAGGGAAAAAAAAAGAAGTAATACTAGGTAAATTAATTTACTGTATAATTATTAGATGACATGATTTTTATTCAGAAAGTTATTTTTTTGTTTAGATAATCATCACACGGAATACGAAATACAACTGTTTACGGACCTTAAGAAAACTCAAACGATTTTGGCTGAAAAAGAAAAAATAATTCAGAAATTACAAATTGAAAGAAATGAAATTATTGAAACGGTTAATGAAACGGTAAATATTTTTTTAAACCTTTTATTTTTCATATTTGCATTAGTAATCGATTTTAATTTAATATTAAAATACCTAGGATCAGGAAAACAATACGTCAAATAAAAAATTAACTGCAGAAGTACTGAAAAAGTCCAATGAAATTCAGACATTGAAAGGGCAATTTACTCAACTTCAAAAAAATTATAAAAAATTGTAAGTTTTAAAATATGATATATAAAATTGGTATATAATCATTGTTTACATAGTGTACTTGGACAAATTCTATTATTTCAGATTAATTTAATTGTTTTAAGAACAAAAACAGTTAAATAAATATTTAAACTTTTTTCATTTCATAGTTTTTAAATATATATTATCTAATTTTCATAGCTATTTAGTTTATCTTGAATTTTGTTAATCATCACATTACAATCTATAATTAAGAGATATCGTCTAATTAATTTTACTAATATAAATAAACATTTTCATTCATATATCTTTCCGAAAGATTTTATTAAATACTAGGAAGGAAAAGAAATATGAAATTTTACAAATGTTATGACGAACGGAAAATTTTGAATTTACAAAATTTATATTACATTCACATTATATTACCTTTATATTGATAACTTAATCATACATGTAGACAGCAAAAAGAAGAACAATTGGAAGATAAGCTATTGGATATGAGCAAAATGCAGTCACAAATGAAAGATGGTAATAGAAATGTTTACAACACTCAAATAATGCAGTTGCAGCAGCAAGTTTCGGATTTACGTAGTAATCTCGCTGACGTTAACATCCAAAATAAAGATCTTGAGAAGACTTGTATGCAACTACAACTTAAGAACGAGCATTACGAGAGATACATGCGCAATCAAGATAAAGACTGCAGGGTGAGGAAAGAGATGCAACAGCTTCTTGAACATAACGAGGATGGGTATATTGAAAACTTTGATCAGGTAAGTCGATATATCTTCGAGCTATATGATCTAAATTAATAGACAAATAACCAGGTACATAGTCACTATTTCGTTAAAAATGGTGCAAATTTAAATGCTATTTAAATATTAAATTCTGCGAGTAATGGCATGCGAATATGAATTGCAAATTAATAAAATACGAAAATATGAATAAAATAATTGTCTTCTTTTTATTCTTTATATGTAGAATACATTTAGTCCAATTAACAATGAGGAATTCAAACAATTGTACGCAACTTTGGAAAGCAAGGAAATGCAGATAATAAAACTGGAAAAGCTTGTAAAACAAATGGAAAAACAAGAAGAACATTCACAGCTGCAGCGTACTAGACTCGAAAACCGAATTGCGAAATTGGAAGTTGCACTTAAAGAAGGCCAACAAGCTCATCGGTACGTAAGCCCGAAAACTTTACCAGCCATAGGAATTCAAAACTACCAGATTGAAGATTTTGTGAACCACTCTTCTCCAGTAAAATCAACTGATCTTTATACATTTCAATCAAAATTAGCTCCTCTGAGTCAAAGAGAAAATGCATGTCGAGATTATGCCCAATTGAAAACCGAAAAGCAGACGTTTGTGAATACATTCAACTATACAGTCCCAGAGCGTAAATATAAAAACTTAGTCGGTCATGATCTTAAACGACATGTAGAGAAAGATTGTACAAGTAAACACAAACTCAAAAGGCAAATAGATTTGGAAAAACACGAGCGGGCACAAAATATTAAAGAATCATGGAAGCGTGGCTTTCCATTATACAGATGGTTTTTAAAACCTTTTTTCCGTGAAAGCAGTAATCATGCACGTAAACGTCACAAATTTTAGAAAGCTGAGTAAAGAATATCCAAATGGACATATCGGAAAAATTTAATGCATATTGTGAATGAATCGCTTCGGGAGACATTTTACATTCTTTGGAACATTATATATCCTAATAATTTCATACGATTTTTTTTTCTTTACTAATTTTAAATAATAAACAGTATATACAGCAAATTATGACCCTTACTGAATTAAAAAATAAAAAAATAAAAATAAAAAAAATAAAAACACCTATAATTCTAAAACAAAACAAAACTTTAATAATTTTCACTTTTAGAACAAAGTTTAGAAATAATATTTTTTTAATATTTATTTAAACCGTTTTTGCTGGTTTAAACATGGTCTGTCTGCCAATAAGTTGAGTACTCCCTGCTGTATACAAACTTTAATTTTTAGATAAGTTTTTTGAGGTTCCTTACATGAGTCCCTAACTTTATTAAGTCAGACCTTGTTAAATTTTGATAAAGTATCGAGTTTATTTAAACTTTTTTCTTAAATTGTAATTTTTCTGTTCTAGGAATAGAGGGTTCAGCTTCCTGTAAGGAACTTCTTTCTTGGTCAACAAAGCCTTTTTGCCAAGCTGTAATTAATTAAGAATGAACAAAATGAAAAATTTTTATATGAATTAAATAACTTTTTGACTGTAAAGATAATTAGAAAAATTTTGCAATTACCTTTTATAAAGAAAAGGTTAATTATTACTATAATACTTGTACATTAAATTATTATGAAAAGCATGAATTTTATAGTCGAGATATTTGTAAGATAAATTTATTTTGTACAACCGTTTTATAAATAAAAACTATGTACTACAATTTATTACAATAATAAAAATAAACTTTATTTTATACAGATCAATCGCTTTCCTCGCTGCTTCCTGAATAAGTGCCTAATAATGAAAGTCCACTTGCTGTCTTAACAGTACTGCCCGTGCTTTCTTGTTTCATAATATTACTACCACCGTCAACTCTATGTACATTTTCTTGTTCGCTATCTACGTTACTTATATTATTAGAACATTTGCTTACTTGATCATTCTCTATATCATGCATAACGGTATTAGAGCTAATAGTTGACGTGACACATTTATTTACAGATTTTACTTTAATACCAAGATTTTTCCTTTTATCCGCTATACTCATACTTGATCTTAATGGAATTCCAGAAAATGCTGTTCCAGCCGATGGGGCAGATAGCTTTTGAATTTTCTTTGGTGGTTCCATTTCATTATTATCTTCTGCCTCAATAATTTCTTCCTCTATAACCTTTCCTGCTATATTATTTTTATTTTTGAATATTTGCTTAATAAGCTGTTCATCGTATTCTTCTTGTTCTTTTTCCGTCCTTTGCCTAGCAGCTATTATATCGTATTGTTCTAGCATTTGGTCATAATTTATAGCTTGCTGTCTACGATTTAAATCTTTAAGTTCTTCCAGTGATTCTAAAAGTTCCAGTTCTTGTTTCGACTGATGCGTTCTTTTCTCAAGCAATTTCATAGGATTTGTGGCTTCTTCTTCCTTTTCTTCATCTTCCTCTCGTTTGGCCTGCTCTTCGGCTAATTTTAATGCCATAAAATTTCTAGTTGCACCAGCCTCGATCTCGTAATCAGTATTTTTTGGATCAGTTTTGAATGAAATTTCTTGTAAGCATCTAGTACACTTTATATAAAATCTATATATTCGAATACCTAGATAAGTGTCGCCTTCCACATCTTCTTTCCGAGCATTAAACTTTTTACCCTTATAAATGTATTCACCGCAAGTCTTGCATCTCATATTAAAAGGGGCCATCAAACGAACTGTATATTGACGATTCCGCGCCAATTTCATACGCGGAATCTTCGATGGATCGAAATCCGGTGGATAGTATTTCTAAATAATGAATACGATAAATTAATATTAAATAAAAGATAAATCGAAGTCTCATATTTGCTTATAAAACATTACTACAATCTCTAACCTTACAATAGCTTTATATATATCTATGTTTATTTTAAAAAAGGAAAATACACTTACGTTTAATACTTTACGTTCCGACATTTTGCTTAACTATATTATCGCCTACTGTTATTCTCAACAAACCAATTCGTCGGATGAAAAAATTTATATTATGAGATGTACATATTACAGATTACAGAACCATAGTGCCATATTCTTTGTCAACATGGCCTTTTGACAACAGAAAGGAAGTTTACTTTTTAGAGTAACAAGACATACAGCGGAGTTGATAGGTAATGAAAGCACCGCCAGAGGCGCTAATGCTCCGCCTTAAGCGACATCACAAAGCTTTCGGTAAATATAAATTCTTAATTGCAATGTGCATATGAGATTTCCTTCGTACCGATAATATATAAATAATTGTAATTCCAATGCACAATGGCCATGAAGCAGTAGCCGCATGTATGTTCCATGCATAGTTGTCATTGTCCATTTTGAATAATCTCAACAATTGCTTGTGCATGTATATAGATAATATATTATGTATTATTATGGTGAAGTGCGACGTTAAGGTGTCGTCACCTTACGGTTTCGTATAAAACTATAGCGGAAAGAACTGCGATTGATAAATTTTTGCAATTTTCACGAATTAGCGGAATACTTAATCTATTTAATCAGCCCAAGTTTGAATTGAATGACTGTCTGAAGATGTCAGCAGTGTTTGTCATCTTGCCATTGTGTTTTGACAGTGATATGAATAAATTTATTTAAACCCCCTGCAGGTGCAGTTAATTAGTATTTTTCATATACTTTTCATCTACATAGTATTATAAAGAAAAAATGTGTGTATGAAATTTCATTTTAGTTTATTAAATAGTTAGAATAGATGAAATAATGTTTTCTGACTTGACAAATTATTCAAGGTAATCTTAATATTTATTATTCCTTACCTCATGTAGCCGCAATGAGATAGCAATCTAATATTTTCGTTCTGAAAAATTTATGTTCAATTGTTTACAGAAATACGTATATATCTATGTATAAATTTATATATAAGTGTGTGTATGTAAAAAAACTTGTTTTTTTTTCTCAAAATTTTGTAACGAAAATTATGCGCACTATTTTAAAATGCTTATTTATTTATATTTCATAAAATACAAAATAAAAAATATATATATATATATATATATAATAAAAGGAATATTTGTGTTTATTATTATGAGCGCAATTATTTTAAATTTCATTAACTATTAATAGATTTGAAGCTTCAACTGGATAATTGTATTCCTTTATTATGAATTATAAGTTTTATCATGTCAGATGAAATAATTATTAAATAGATTCATATTTCATTCTACAAAAGGCTTTTCAATTATTTAGTAGACTTTGGCTTCATTTAGTACGATCAAAATTGCATTTAGATTTTACTATAAATATTCCGAATATAAAATTTAAATATGAGTTTTTAAAAATTAACGGTATCGACATTAATATATTCAAATTTAATTTTTTTGAATATCTTTCGATTTCTTTACCAATTATAGTTTATTCTTAATTTATTATAGAATATTAAATTAATCACATAGTTAGAATCAGAAGAAATTAATATTTGTTATTATTCAATTAATAATAAATATAATTTTTTAACAAGGAATCATATATTTGAACAATTGCTTTTAAAATAGTTGATATAAAGACAATTATATTAATGCTAGCTACAATAATTATTTAAACATTCATTTTTTTTTTGTTTAAACAAAAGTCGAATTTTGTTTCTGAATATTGTAAAATAAGATAATTATTTTTTCTTTAAATTTTTTAATAGTTGCACATAAGAAATAAATAATAAAATTAATCCCTGTTATATAATTTTTTAAGTTAATTCGATAATATTTTGAACGAAGATCAATTAATTTCAATTAATTCAAATTTTTAATTAAAAATTTAAAATATATGTTTTTGAAATTGAAGTGAAAAAAAATACTCCTAATTTGGTTTTTGTAATTTACTGCAAAATAATGATTTAATTTTAGTGAATAAAATGAATGATTAAGTTTCTATTTTATAATGAAATCATAATTTATTAACATTACTTATTTATTTGAGAATTATTCTAGTATTATATTCAGTTGCAAATATTTGGAAACTTCATAGTCACATTATTAATATAGAAATCAATTTTTTTTTTTAATATAAATCTAAATATTAATCATAATATAAAAATGTAATTAAAAGATTTTTTTCAAATGTTAAATTGACGATGTCGGTATAAAATTCATGTGTAGAGTTTTCATGCGAGAGTTTTAGGATTATTGGGAGAATAAGGAGTTTGGCGTAGGTAGAAATAATATATAAGAAAGACGAAATCCTCCTTTGGCTCTCTGCTCTATATCAAAGTATTTGCCCTTCGTACGAGCCTCGCTAATAGATTTTCCTGCGCATCAGTTGACTCCCTCTTATCTTTTTCGATTTCAAGATTTTACCTTTTCTTTATCATACCATGTTATTTCGTATATTTTTATTTCATCATAAATACTTGTTTTTACATATTTTTTATTACTGTATGTGTACTTCAGATAGCAATAAAGCACAGGCAAAGTAAATGCTTTCATCTCACTTTAATTCGGTCATTTATAAAATTCATTTTATTTAATATATATAATTTGTCTTTAGCTAATGATTAGATGATGACAGCTTATTTTATCGTTTGCATTATTCTTAGAGGACTTCAATGTTACTATAAGGTAAGATAAGTAGTTATTTAAAATATCGTAATTCATGAATAACGTTCACTATTATATTTTTTATCGGTATGATAACGTTAGTACTATTCTTGTATTAAAAATCGGACTTTTAAACTCCAGTGTTTTGGTTGTATAGTCAAGGTTGGCTAACAAGTCGGCTTATGACTAATTAAATGAGCTGTAAGAGTGACTGATATACTATATATATTTACTAAAGAGGGACTGGCACGATGATATCTAAGAGAGAAAGGGAGAGAGTGAATTTTGGGAGTGGTTCAAGACGGTTCGTCTTGCTATATCCTTTTGACTACTTCTTTTTTTTCAACCAACTGAGTGGGAGAATAAGAGACTCTGAGTGCGTGCGCGTATGTGTGCACGTTTGTGCTTGCGCGTAGAAGTTGCGCGCGCCCCTAGTGTGCATTTGCTTGGGTTGAGTGCAGAAAAAGAGTCGGAGTGCCGATAGGAAGCGCAGACGTGTGTCGTTTGCTCGAGTGTCGCTACATAGAGTGAGAGAGAGAGAGAGAGAGAGAGAGAGAGAAGCGCACTTTAACTCCCTCTGAACATTCGCCGCTTTCACATATCTTTAAATTTATCGTAGTTTTATTGCTATTCCATTCATAAATGAGGCGAAGTTTAGATTAATGTTGTGGAATTTATGAAAATTAACTAGTGGCTTGTCGCTGAATATACGAATTGTGTATTTAAGTGAGTACCGGCAGTTTGTTATAACGTACGATAGTGTATATGAGGTTGAGAAAGTGAAGTTTAAATTTTAACATGGATTTATTTTTGATGGTATTGGAGCTTCGCTCCGACAGCTAAATCACACCGGTAATTACCGTTTTTCCCTTTTATACCTATAAATCTCTCGTTTCTTAACAATACATTTGAAACTATTTTTCCAATACTGAAAAATGTTTATTTGAGATATAAAAATATGGTAGCAATTTGTAAAGTTAATGATAAATGTAGGTAAAATTATATATAAGTATATGTAAAAAAATTATTACAATGTCATTTCTATATGATGTACTATTTGTAATCCATTAAGCATGAAAGTTGTAAGATATTAATAAAAAGTCATTAAGTATTAATCATATAAAAATGTAAAACACAATTCCATCAATTACAATTGTAGTTAAGTTTTTTATTTCTATGAATTGTTGAAACTGTCAATCAATGTCAATTTAAAGACTATTTATTTTAAAGCAGAACTTCTTGAATCAATATGTCAATTGTACTTTTTTCAAAACAACTTTTATTTAAAAATTTTCAAAAATAATTGGATAAATAATAATAATAATATAATTAAAATTAATTTATTATATCAATGTAATAGTCTTATCAATCTTGTATAATTTTTATTTTCATAAATTATGTACAAATATAATTAATAGTAAAGTTTTATGTATGAAAATGATATAATTTATGTATTAATTAAAAATATGGAAAATTTTAATAAGAATGGATTTTTTTGTTCAAATGTCTGTATATACATAATGGTTCTACTACTTAAGACATACGTTTATAAAGTATAAAGAAAATAAAGAAAATCGTTGGTGATTTCCATAGTTTAGCAAGTAAAAATGCATAGTGTAATAAATTCTTAATTATAAATTAAATTTGGGGTCAGAAAATTGCATTGCCAAGTTTTTGCTTCGAAACCAGAGTATTAAACTAAGTTGGTACAGACATTTAGCTTCAGTCTTTTGACTCAAGTCATTCCCAACATCACATAATATATTTTCTCGCCGTCTCCCCCCCTCCCCCTCCCCCTCTCTCCCTCTCTCTTACTCACTGTTGTGTCTTTCTTAATCCATATAATTTTATACTTCATTCTGTCAAAAATTGATTCGATAAATTTTCAATTTTTGTTATGAAACATACACAGATTTTTTATCATACATAAATATTTTTAGCTGATGTAAGTTTCTAACGAAAACTTATCCTACTTTCATTTTTATTTATAGTATTGTATGTTAATTTTCTTATTTTCTTAAAATACAAAATGAGTACAAAAGCCGAATCAGTTATAACGAATCTTTTAGTGCAAGTAAATATCTACAAGAGTTTTGTAAAAGTCAATAATAAAAAGCACGAATCATTGAATAGATCATAAGTCCAGTTAATAAGCAGAACAATTGTAGTTGACTTTTTACAAGATTGCATAGATAGATAAAAATAGTGTGTAGAAATCTTAGCAGTGTCGGTTAATAACAACTAGGAATTACTAGCGTCCATACTTTTGTAAAGTGTAACGATGCTTCAAGATTTAATGAAATATAATAAGTGTATTAGTTAAAGAAATGTATGAAGCATGCAGATAGATAAACAGGTACATCGATACTTGAATAAACAGAGGAAAGGAATAAGAGAAAGTAGTAGAAGTAGAGAGAGAATGAAAAAAAGAAAGAGATTTGACTTGGTGCGTAATTGCGCCTTGAAGCATGTCGTCTGGTAGTTATTAGATTGCCGAGAAAGAAGCGCAATCGCGCACGCGAATCACGGAGAATCGCTACTCCGTGAATATTTTCCA